GCTTTAGGAAATGAATTGTATTTTACCACCCACAATGCTGTGCGAAATTAAACGTAAATCGTCATGTCACGTGTGCCTCCAAATCAAAATGGATTGGATTAACTGAATACATTTTTAATCTAGAGTTAAAGTCCCGTCTGAAATCACTACTTTTAATTAACAACAGAAAATATAACAAATATCTGCATTATAATAAAAGCTTTCTCCCTCTATCTAAATAATGATTTCACTATTTAAATGTGTCTTTATTGGTTTATTTTACTTTATATTCTGTATATTACTGTCTTTCATGTATGTACTGTATTTAGTTATTTAATCTGCCTTTTACTTGATTTACATTGTGATATTGTTTTTGTTTACCTGACTGTATATGCGCATTACTCTTCTTGAATAAAGCTAAACAAAAAAATAAAAAAATAAAAACGGGTGGATGCGGCCGGTTCGGGTAACTTAAATGAAGTCACTTCCATACTGAATGAATCAGAAGAAGTAGGGACAAATATCTGCCTACTGTGTGTGCATACTGATTAGTAGGTACTAAACAGTATACAGCACAGATAGTAGGTTGCCTACTGCCTACTGAAAGATTGAGTAGGTACTTCCAGCCCCAAAATCTGCGTATATGTGAACACAACAACCTTAAAAACACTGGGGGGAAATGTAGCCTGTTTTCATCGAGCATAAATCAGCATGTTTACAGACTGCAGAAAGTCTTTTTGACACACTTCTCTTTCACTGTAGTGACCTTGATCAAACATATGGACAAAATGATGTGAAGAAAACAGTATTTGGAGCCGGGCCGTGGGTTCAAATCCGAACACAGCCCTTTGCTGCATGTTTCCCTACACTCTCTCTCCTCCCAACATTTCCTCTCTTTCTCTTCAGCTGTCCTCTCCAATAACGGCAAAAAGATCCCAAAGAAATCCCTTTAAAAAAAGGAATGCTGTGTCGGTCTTGTGGAGAAAACACAATGCAGGGCTCTATCACCTAGCATCATCTCATGTGACGCCCTCTAGTCTGCTCGCCTTTTGGAGAAAATACAAAGCAGTGTGGCTTCTAGTAGAGAAAATGGGACGCAGTGTGGAATTGTTGTGGAGAAAATACAATCACTGACCCTTTAACTGTGATAAACTGCAATGAAGAAGGTCGTTTAAAGTAATAAGGGTGAAAGGCCGTCCTTAAGGTTTCCCCTCTAGTGGAGAAAACTTCACTCTGATGATCCTGATGTGATAACAGGTTTAAAAACATCCTACAATAACAGAGTTGCACATCGTGATGATTTAAAGAAAGATAGCAGAAAAAAGGAAAATGAATCTATAAGCCTCCGAGCTGTCTGCTGAACTGAGGCATCCAACTATCAGGCCTCATCAGCATGTTGTCTGACAAAAACAGGAAGTCCCTCACTTCTTCTGAGTTACATAAAAAAAAAAAAACATGCAGCTCTTCCCTCCCTTGAAGTTCTTGACAGATCTGATACGACTGCAGCAACAAAGCTGGGTCAGAGCCTTAAACGATTGTGTGTAACACGTCTCCTCAGATACAGGCTGTCTTCTTGTTGCCTTTTATCCTGAACAGATTCTTACCAACACACTCGTTAAAAAGCAAAAGGAAACTTGAAGAGTCTGGATATTTATTAAAGGTCACATATCCTCAAGTCTCAGAGCTCTCCAAACATGTGTGTGAAGTTTCTTGTTCTAAATCCACTCTGATCCTGTATTTGATCATGTCTATAAACTCCTCTATTTCAGCCCTGCTCAGAACAGGCTGTTTCTGTGTCTGTACCTTTAAATGTAAATGAGCTGTGTCTGACACACCCCCTCTCTGGAAGTGCTTGGGTGTCTCGGGCTTTCTCGCTCCCTGTCCTAGTGTTTACAGTGAGAAGGCAGACTCAGAGGGCAGAACAAACACCTAGCTGTGGGAGTCAGGTGGGTGACAAAGGCTACTGCCCTTTGTGATGTCATGAAGGGAAAATCTCCAAACGGCCTGTTTGAGCACACATTTTCTGAAAAGTGGAGCAGGCAGAGGAGGGAGAGAATGGACTTTTCTCATCATTGGGGGATTTGTAGACAGACTAGAGACATATGTTAGAGTTAGAGAAACGTGCATCATGTAACGTTTAAGTCAAACCAGAGAGGTGTATCAGTGTTTCCCCTACCATTATATTGGGTGGGGGGGCACGCCCCCTCAATGGCCCCCCTGAAGGTCAAGTAAAAAGTTGTTTTTTTTTGGGGTCTTTTTGTGCCTTATGGATACGATAGTGGATAGAGTCAGAAATCAGGGAAAGAAGTCATTTAAGGATACTTTTCCGATAGAAAAGGACATCTGTCATTAAAAGTAACACATGAACACCAAGATTCCTTCAAGTGTTTGTGTGGTCGTGTTGGCATGTCAGCTTGTCCCCCCCCCCCCCCAACACTGTAAACCTAGGGGAAACACTGTGTACGGACCTGTGGGGAGATTATAAATTACTCGATATTTAAGAATCAAACAACCAGTTAGAGCTGCAATGATGGGTTAATTATTTGGGCATTTGCTGCTTTCCTTACGTTTTATTATCCTGAAGTGAGTATCTTTGGATTTTGGACTAAGAACCTTCATTACAATCAAGCAGAGGGCATCGCCTTGGCAACACTGGGGAAAAGATCAAGATCCCCGTATTCGAACCCGGGCCGCCCGCTTGGAGGGCTATAGCCTTTTAACACTGACCACTAGGCTACCAGCGTCAGGCTACTACCATTCAGTGTTGGGTCATTTCTCAATTTTTATGAGTAAATTTGACGGCAAACTGTCTAAATTGCACAAATAGAGACGTTGTCGATGTATTTCTGAACCTCTTTTTCTCTTGCAGCAGCTTTCAGTTTCAAAATAAGACTGAAGATCTGAAGGAATTTTTCCTAAACTTCAGTTCTTTACAACAATATTCATCCTGAAAGGAACAGAGACTGATTGGTTTTCAACAAGTATCAGAAATGTCAACAATTGCAATCCAAAATATGCGACTTTTCAAAGATGCTTCTGAGAGATGCAGCACTGCACCGCAGATATGTGAGCGACACAATGCAGGTTAAATATCTGGACACGTTTGAGACTCTGATTCCTGCAGATCGACTTGATAAAAGTGGAAGATATGCGAGGACAGGAAGAACCACATGAGGGTCATAATAACTCTGTAATCACTCCTGCAGCCGATCATCAGAATCTCAGCAGAGAAACGCAGAAACACTTCTGTCTCCGCCTCTGGAGGACAGACCTCCCGTCCCGTGCGTGGTCACACATATTTCCCCGTGTTAGTTCTCACACTTGTTTACATCATTTAGGAATGAGGTCGACGTGCCAGGGATTAGAATAATGTTATTAATCACTGATGGAATGTGCAAACCACAAAATCTTTAGGACACGAGATTATAAGACAGACAGCCTTTTTATGGGAACCGTTTCACAATTTACTGATTTTTATCAAATTATTTTAAAACTTTCTCACATCAGGGAAACTTGAAGTGAAACCAATTATGACCACAAGCCTAGAATCTGACGGAGGGTTAGGGTTAGTGAAATCGTCTTTTGTTGTGTTACGAGACTTATGTTGGAAATAAGTTCCTGAAACTTCCTCAAGAACATCGGGGGGTCCGAGGACGGATCCCAACCATGAGAGCCACCGTCACATTAACATTATCTCACCATTGTACTCTCAGGTAGGATGGCATGCTTTGGCAACCCGTAAATTCATACACTGGTACACCTTTATAGGTCTGCTTCCACTCTACCTCTGTGTTTTTAATCACGCAGTAAAGTACCGCTCAGTATTCTTTGCGTTCTCGGGACCTCTCTGTCCCAAACGCTCTGATAGAAATTGGGAAAAGGGCTTCTGGGTATTCTGCTCCCTCAGCCTGGAATCTGTTCTGCAGAGTGACTTAAAACTATTTAAGGTTTTAAAATCTAATATGAAAGACCTGGCAGCAGATTCTACAGGATGTCGATGCTTTCAGCTCGACTGCTTGAACTCCTGACTCACAGATTTGACTCGTAGATGTTTCTCTTTTAATGCAAAGTTTAGTATTTGTACTCTCTTTGTGTCTCCGTCTGTAACTTTGAGTTTTTTTTTACTGCTGACTGTCTCGACCAGGTCTCCCTCGGACAAGAGGTTCTTAATCTCAACGGGGACAAACCTGGTTCAATAAAGGTTAAATACAAATACAATTATTTTATACCTTATTTCATCCAGAACTTGCTTGGTGTTGAGCAGCCCATTATGGGCAATATTATGGTTATGGGGGAAATTTGCATTCACAGTAATCAAATTGCAAAAGTCTGAATTTATTGCAATTTGTATTTTAATACACCCGAGTAATTTTAAGATAGCCATGTGATCTTCTCTGATTAATTGGTGCCACTTAAGAGTTGATAAATATGCTTTTCAGATTTATTTTGGAATCAGGAGGGGCATATTGCAAACACAGGTGTTGTGTAAAACATAAAGAAGGAAATGTAGATAAAGAAACTTTGAGTTAAAGCTAATATGCACGATTTATATTCCGTAATTTCCCTTTACTGGAATATAGATCAGTGTTGTTGTAAATTGCGTAATTGTTTCATCATCATCTGGTCGTCTGCCTCAATGAAACGTCATCTTATTCCAGATATAGCAAAGCTGCTTTGGTCTCTCGGGTTATATCTTCTTGACTGTGGACTTGCTCGGTGCAGCAGTGAGGATGCTTGCGGAAGGAAACGGAGCAGGAAGTAACAGAGAAGAAGTGGGCTGTCCTAATTTTTACGGAACACCGAAAATTATAGCCATAAAAGCCAAAATCGGTACGCACTGAAAGGTCCACGTCTGTGCAGCTTTATGAATGAATGTGCAACACTCCGCAGAAGAAACGTGTATTATTTATGGTTTTCAGACGTCCATTAATGCAACACAAAGAAAAGCAGCGGTATTAAAAATACATCTCATATCAAACAGACTGTTTAATGCTAAGCTAACAGCAGCTAGCAGGGTCTACCTGGTCCGCCAGTTTGAGAACAGCCATCTCTGGGTCAGCTCCGGCGTCTCATCCACTCGCTCCCCGGCCCCGCTGCACCATGCACGGGGCGATGCTGCGTCGCTCCCCCGCTCTTCTCTCCGGTCCTCCCGCGGGACTCACCCCCGGCTAAATACACAAACAGCAGGCTGGACGATGAAGAGGATGAAGGCCGAGCACCACGGCCAACATCAGCCCCACTCCGGTGACGCTATCTGCGGCGGGTCTGCTGAGCCCAAGCGGTCGCTCTGGAGCAGGATCGGCGGGACCCTCCGGTGTAAAAAATCCACATTTATATCTCCTGTTTCCGCTGTTCCTTCTGCACGGAGGTCCCGGGAGTCTCTCCGGCTTGTACACTACCTCCTCCACCCGCTGAAGCCTCCTCCTGCCCGGTGTGCACAGCCACAAGCCTCCCGGAGCAGCAGCAGCCAGGCTGAAGTCGGCTGAGCGCTGATCGACACACAGGAAGTTGGTGCCTGTCTCTCCTCCTCCTCCTCCTCCTCCTTCTTCTCCTCCTCCTCCTCTCAGATGCAGAAGTGGAGGAGAAGCTTCCTCAGCATCAACCTCCTCGCTGCTGCCACCTGCTGGCTGTACAAAGAAAGACACAAACACGCCAAAGGCTGCAGCATCCCAAAGTGATGAAACATTGAGCAGATCATTTCTATGGTGTATAAACTACAGTCGCTTTATTGTCTGGTCTATTAAATATCAGTAAACTTTTCACATGGTTGGAGATGATCGGGGGGTTGGTAGACAGACTAGGGACACATTAGAGTTAGAGAAACATGGTGAAGTGGGTTTTGCATAATGTGTGACCTTTGACATCTTTGGTGTTATTATTGTGAACAGAGGAAGAAAGGCTGGATGACAGACAGACAGAGAGCCTGCAAGGTTTCTTGTTTTGGCTTTGGCCCTCAGTAGCCTGAGTTCAATATATTTTTATGGGTCAACAAATACAAATTTCAGACGACCCCATTTGAATTCCCTGTGACCCCAGATGTGGTCAGGAGGACCCAGAGGTCGGGAAAGTATCGGGGAGATTTGATGTGGCTGTGAGTTTTAAGCGTCCAGAAATAACTCGATAAGTGCTTTTAAAAAAAGGAAGTAAAGCCTACAGTGCACGTCCTCCTGCTTTACTGTTTGTGTCACTTCAGCAGGCGATGTTTCACAGAACAAACATTTTGTAATCTCAGTTCTCTCCCCGCAGGGCAGCTGATTATTAACGCAGGTTTCCAGGGTTTCCTCCCGATGTTGACTCGACAAACACAAAGCAGACGCAGCAGAGACAGAGACGGCATGTTTTCATTCACATCATTCCTAAAGTTATAAAGACAGGAAGCTGCAGAGGCTGGAAGATAAAAACAACATCCAAACGCTTTCACTGTTTCAGGATGCTCTGCAGCCGACAGATGATGAATGAATTGTAGAAATGTAGAATTATAGGTAGGCTTCTGAAATACATTTGACGCTGCCAGAGGGACTCTACAGCGCCATCCTGAGCTCAGAGGCTTAAACTGGCAGAGGAGAAGACGGGAATTATCCGCCAGTGGCGGTTCTAGACCACTTTTACTGAGGGGGCCAGTTGTTTTGTCAGAGGGGAACATTAAACCCAGGTCAAAAATAGACAAAGATGATCACTTTAAAAAATATATAATTATTATGCCAAATAATAGCACGCATCATTAAATACCACAACATTAAATACCATGATTTATATTTGTTTCAGTAACAGTATTTAATACTAGATTGTCAGTCCGGTTGTTGAGTCAAATACTGTGTATGTGTTTTGAGGGGGGCTCTTCCTTTTGGAGGGGTGGCCACAAGGGGGACCAAGCTCAGTGTTACAGGGGCACTGGCCCCTGTTGGCCCCTGCCTAGAACTGCCCATGTTATCCGCTCGGATCCTCCTCGCTCTCTTCCTTGTCCTCGTCAGTGAATAGTTGCGAGAGGTTTTAGTGGTTTGCCCGCTATCCTACGGTAGACACGATCTAATGAATGACAACAGTTTGTGTTTAAAATATAACAAACATAAACACTGCAAACAAACACATGCACACACATTTAAAGTACATGTAGGATATAAAAGCAGGAGGAGAAAGCACAACAAAACAAAAACTGCAAAATTAACATAACTTAACTGCAAGAAACATTTCTACTCTTCAGACACCTATTCATGCACGTGTGTTAAAAGCTGCCGTTCACACACAAGAACAAAACTCTTAGAGGACATATACCCCTTCTCCACCTTTTCAAACAGTCCCCCTGTGGTCTAAATGAAACATCTGTGCTGTGCTTTGGTCAAAATATAACATGAATCAAGCACCAGAGGAGGTTTGTGACCCTGTATAAACCAGCTCTCTCAGAACGCTCCGTTTTGGTGTGTGTCTCTTTAAATGCAATGAGCTCCCCCTGAGTTTTCCCGGTAGACATCACTCCTCTGTAGCGAGAATAAAAATGGCGCACCTGCGCAAAGGTTTTGTTCTAGGCTGGAGGTGGAGTGCATGAGTGGAGATACCAGGGGAGGGGAAGTTTTTTTTTTTTTTTTTTACCAGAATCCCACTGTGACATCACAAGGAGAGCAATTTGAAACAGAGCATTTTTCTCTGCGTTGTAAGACTTGTGCAGACCACAAACAAAGGACTGGATGGGTTTATTTCACATTTTGTGGGTCAGCAGACACTCAGGTTACACAAATAAATATTCAAAAACACTGTAGAAGTGGATTTTTCATAATATGTCCCCTTTAAATGATTTTCTGTAAGTGTGTTTATGATTCTTTACTTTGTCACTGGTTATCTTTAATTTCTTTGACACACATTCTTTTGCACACTGACCCTGACCCCGCTGCACGAGTCAGCGTCATCCTGTATGTAAGCGTTTAGTTCAGCCTGACGGAGCCGCGAGCGTCACATGACAAATGCATGTAGTTCACACATTAGCCTCGGAGCAAATTCACACACTGCTGCAGCTTGACAGTGTGTACATGTGACCGGGTCAGGCTTCGCTTGACCAAAGGTGAGAAAATATGACCAAGAAAAGCTCCATTTTTAAAATCAGAAACAACCAGTACAGGGCTGAAACTTTCTATTAAACACACACAGGCACAAACATGCCTCTGCTTTCCTAGGAATATCCCTCCGCTGCAGCCCCTCACACACACACACACACACACACACACACACACACACACACACACACACACACACACACACACACACACTGTGTTCGTTCCCGAGTCTGGCAGCAGAATCTGGGTCAGAGCGCTCGGCTGTGCAGCAGCAGTCATGTTGAATGGAGTGGGGGAGGTTCTTCTCTTCTTTGTGTGTCTATGAGCGCTCATGCATATGTGTGTAGGAGGTTTTCTTTTTAAGTGCAAGTGAATTCCCAATTTATCCATCAGACATTTGACAGAGAGAGGGAACTGGAACACTCGGGAGGGCTTTCTCATGGACTCTGATGGAGTCACGAGACTCATTTGTGTACCCCTTCTTTAAACATTGTCCACTTTAAGAATAAAAACACAAAAAAGCAGTTCATAAGAAACCCTGAAGATGGTAAATGGACTTGAGCTTGTATATTTCTTTTCTAGTCTTCTGACTTCTCAAAGCTCTTTGACACCGCAGGTCACACCTACACATTCACGCACTGATGGTAGAAGCTGCTGTGTAAAGTGACCTTCACATTCACACACCGCTGATGAAGCACATGAGCCACTTAGAGTTAAGTGTCCTGCCCAAGGACACATTTGACAAGTGGCTGCAGGAGCTGGGAATCGAACCCCTGACCTTCCTGTTCAAAAACTGAGTTTGCAGTTGAAATAACATTTCCAAATAAACAAGCTTAAAGCTGAATAAATCTAATGCCAGAATGCATCAGAGGAAACATACCTACACTACTACTATCAACCATCAGACGGTATAATGTTGTTTTTTTTTGGATCTCGTCTTTTACAAGTTGAAAAACAACGCCATGCTCGATGTTTAATCCATGAAATGTGCAATAAAGATTTAACATCATGTCTACTGCATGTGTGCTAAATTTTAAACCTGGGGGCCGAATCATAAAAGAGCTGGTGAGGTTTTAGTTTGTTGTGTCCCCAACATAAACCCTGATGTAATCGAGAGCAAACCCAGCTCCTCGTCTGCACCTCCTCCGTGATGTCAGAATGTGACCAGCGCTGTGATGCAAGTGCCAACGATGACTTCATCATGACTGAGGCCCCCAGCAGAGCCCTCCCCCCCGTCGTCTGTGTGCTGTGTCTCTGCAGGATGATAAGCCTTACACACAACAGTTCACAAAGAATCTGTGGACTTTAGGGGTTGTGTTGGCTGTGGCGTTTTTAGAGTCTGTTGGAGCATGCTGCAAAATGTCCCAGGTTGCCCCTCCGACCAGCGTTCATCACCATTATGTAACTCAACCATCAACATTTACAAACACCTTTGTACGTCTGTTGAAATCAAAGACAGTAAATATGAATGTTTGAAGCCTGAGTGTCATCACCCGTCTGTTCCTGCAGGGGGTGCTGGAGTCCCATCGATGGCGGTCTCCATGCTGGAAATGCTGGCCCTTTTTCAAACCAACCCCTACACCCTCCACCCTCCGTGACAGAGTGCACTCCGTTAGAAGTCACACTCTCAGCCGAATGAAGTCCCCTTCATCAAGGTTTAGGGTAGAAATACAGCGGCAGGCTTAGGGAAAAACTTCCCTCTCTTAGGTGGAAACAAGAACTGTGTGTTACCTGGTTACTCAGCAGTATCTTACGGGAATGGCTTTTTTTTTTGTAGGTAATGCATTCTGTAAAATTAGCCTATTTATGTAGCCTAGATTATTCTTTAGTTATATTAGTGTAGACTTATAACAAAACTATTAGATTGAACCTACATTGTTTATTGTAATTTAAGTTAATTTATTGTAATTTCATAGAACAGGGTGTCCTAAATTAATGCAAAGACATGGATAGTATTGTTGAACCTTAGAGCAGCAGGTTTATTTTTTGTTGTTGAATTGAGATTTCACAAAGACATCAAAAGTAGAAAAATAAGAAATAAATATTAAGAGAAAAGTTTTCTGCAACATGATTCAATATTATTTTGTTTTTGCGACAGTCCCTGTAAATATAAAACACTTTACAATAAATAAACATATATTTGATCCTCAATACACATTTGAAGTTGTTAACGTCTGTATGACGATATTAAATGTCTATCTTAGTTGGAGCAGTTTTATAGGAACTTGAACTCACAGGTTGCTTCCTCCATGGCGACCGGACACAATAGGCGTTGCACGTGATCCGAAAGCCAGCATCAGTGCACACTCGCTGGTGGAAGGTTTTATAACCCACTACTTCTCCCCGCTAATTGGTTTGGGACAGACTTAATATGGTGGACCCTCCGCAAGGACGCACAAACGGAGGGGTAGTGAGTGGGTAGGGAGAGGGTGTAGTGGCCAGTTTGAAAAAGGGCCGCTGTCTCAGCCTAACTTTCAGTCAACCTAACGACAGGCTGAGAGCTGACAAACCGTTACACCATGCCCACGTGTCAATCAGCAACTACACGCCTTATTGGGAATAACTCTTATCCGTCATCAAATCAAAACTGATGAGTCATCAAAACATTAACCCCCCCCGTACAGTGTGTTTTGATCGAGACATGAGCTAATCAGACCTATTTGTTTTTTTTGAACCAGGCTGTAAACATGTTAATCTCTGCTGTAAAAACAGGCTTTTTAGAATGGGTGTTTATGAGACTTCCTGTGCTTCTGCAGCCAGCCTCTAGTGGACACTCGAGGGACTGCAGGACTTTACAATTCAGCATCAGCTTCATCTTGAAACACCTGGGGTTACTGCTTGGTATAAATACAGTCCAAGTTATAGAAAGGGAATAATAAATAAATCAGTCATTGATACACAAAGTGACTTTTATACACAAACATTTTATTTGGTTAAATAAAGCAACCTAATGAGAACAGAGGAAATGAGGGAGGGGGGTGTGTGAAGGGAGCATGAGACTGATCCGAACACAAAAAAGAAAAACATAATCCAAATATTTAAAACATCGTGATGACGACTGCTCGGTAATCTTCAATGGAGGTCAGTGTGACCTCAGCCTTTCCTCGCAGAGACACTCAAAAAACAGTAAAAATAAAAAATACATACAGACTCTACAGTGTCCCTTTCTTTTGTTTCTCCTAGTTTTCATGCTCTGTTTTCGTTTCAGGGTCGGGGAAGGTGGCGTCAAAAAAGGGCTGAATGAGCTAAAACTAAAACCTGACTCAGTCGACAGTGCAGAGGAGAAAAGAATTAAGGGTATTAAATCGTATTTACAAAGAGTACTCAAGCTCGTAGCGCACGTAGATGTTCTTCTCGTCGTTGTTGACCTGCGGGTAGTGAGCGATGAGGGCATCCTGCGAGCCGATGTAGATCGAGTTGTAGATCTTCCAGTAAACGTCTCGCACCTTCCTGGCCGGATGGAACAGGCCCTGGAGATGAAGAGCAAAACTTATTAAATCACCATTTATTCACCCGTCTGATATTTTAGCACCACAACTTATAAATAAAGTCTGACGACTTTGTGACAAATGTAAAGTTCAGAGAAAAACATCACATAAAGAGGGAGCATCTTCTTCAGTGACTTGTGACTACCAGCCCCAACCATCGTCCTCATTCATATACGGCCTGCTCTGACTTCCATCGCAAGGAAGTGTGAACAACAGGATCTTTCCTGCATCTTATCCCATCTCCCCCTATCCCATTTTTCTTTTGTAACATAACAGTGAGTAAGGTCTTTTACCTGTTCTTTGTAAAGCATCTTGAGATAATACTTGTTAGAAATTTGCACTTTAAAAATAATGACAGCGAGGAGGTTCCTGGTTTGAATCCCCGTCTGACAGGAGCCTCTCTGTGTGGAGTTTGCATGTTCTCCCTGTGCATGTGTGGGTTCTCTCCAGGTACTCCGGCTTCCTCCCACAGTCTAAAGACATGCTCATTAGTTTAACTGGTGACACTAAATTGTCCGCAGGTGTGAATGTGAGTGTGGCTGGTTATCTGTCTCTGTATGTCAGCCCTGTGACTGGCTGTTGGTCAGTCCAGGATGTAACTCTGCCTCTCACCCAATGACAGCCGGAAATGGCTCCAGCCCCCAGCGACCCCAAACGATAAACAGTAAAGATAATGATGATTGTTTCAGAAACTCAGTGTTTCCTGCAGCTCTTTTTAGTTTAGGCGGCCTCATTAACAGCCTGCACCCTCCGCCTTAATGACCATTGATGAATGTATAGTCCTGGTTCTTACCTGTAAGCAGTACTGCAGCATGCGACAGGGTCCGATGGCGACCCTCAGCCCCTCCAGAGCGCCCATGACGGCCTGGATCACATGAGGTGACGTCTCAAACACGTTGGGCCAAACGTAGTTCAACAAGTGATTCAGAGAGTCCTCACAGCCGAAGCCGTAGACACCCAATGACATGTGCTGGACCACCGCGCTCGCTGTCTGTCTATGGACCAGGTCTCTGCAGGAGGACACAAGTACGGGGTCAGGAAACATTAAATAACTTTTAAGTTCAACCTAAGCGATATGCCTCCTTCTTACCTGTCCATGAGTGCATCCTCCAGCAGCGGTGTGACGGCGTAGATGTAGTCTTTGCCCATCTCTCCGATGTACTCAAACAGGAAGGAGAGAGATTTCAGCACGCCGTTCTGCACGTTGAGTTCTGGGACACGGTATTCGTTCATGAGTGCCGGCAGCACGGTGAACGGCGAGCAAGTCTCAGCGACGATGGCGATGGCCACGGTGGTACAGACTCTGTTCTGACGCTCCTGGACTTTCAAATTATTGAGAAGCGTGGCTAAGACATCGTGAGGGCTGAGAGGAAGGAGGAGGGACAAGTGATGGTTACCAATCAGGAATAGGTTTTGAGTCGTCAGAAAACAGACATCAGGCTTTGTTGGACTAAATAAGTAGATAGACGATACCTATCTATGTGTGGGAAACACTGATGAAATTAGTTAACCTTTAGTTGTTTCGAGAGCAGCAAGAAAACTACTTTGTGGTGGAAGCTTGCTTGACCATAAGGTTCACACATCAAATTAGTCTGTGTTAAACAAGCATTATGTAACTCTGACCCCTAGTGTTTAAAATGGGTACTGCACATTGTAGAGCGCTGTCTTATTGTACTATTACACAATTTAAAAAAAAATTAATCACAGTATTTCAGATGCTGTATTTGCTACAATTTCTTGTGCTGTTAAGGGATGAAACTTCACTCTAAAATGATAAACGAATGAATCACTGCAGAATACTACATCAGAGCTGCAGACACCATGAGCCGAGACATTCAATACAATCAAAATAATTAGTTTTTTTCATGAAGGGCTCAAAGACACTCACCCAATGGCTTTGGCGATGTAACCAAATGTGTTGACAGTAGCTCTGCGGATCGCCTTTTTGTGAGCCTTCAGCAGCTCCAGCAGTTCAAAACAAATCCTCATCCACTCTCTGGCTGACACGTACTCAGCACCCCTACAACACAAACAGGAAGTTAGACTTAAGGCTGGAGAAAAATATTGGGTAATTAAACTTATATCTAAGAGGCTTTATATCCCACTGACCTGTCGGCTATCCTGCCAACCAGGTCGATACAATTCTCCTGCACTTTCTCGTGTCTGTTCTTCAGGATCGGGGTCAGACGAGGGAGCAGGTCTTTGATAGGTGGAGTCATCTTGTGCATACCTGCAGTGAAAGGAAAATTATCAAACAGCTGTTCACATGTCTGTAAATCTGCACGACTCGTAACACAGGTTTATCACTTGGACAATGACATGGGAGACATACCAATAACATTAACGATGGCCTTCAGCGCTCCAAGGATGCTTCCCAGCACCTCGGGGTATTCCTCTCCCAGGTACTCGTACAGCACCACACCCAAGTGACCCATCAGCTTTTCCTGCGGACACAGAGAGAGAAGAATGCGTTAATTTCTGAACAAGTAAAAAAATAAATTGAGCGTGTGTAATTCTTCATCCTTTACCTCCTGGCAGGTCTTCATGACCACGGCTGTACGTGAGATCAGATCAGCGGCCTGCTGACGGACTTTAGCAGACTTGTTGTTCAGACGCCACAGCACTGTACCGCAGATCTGAGGCAGGTAGGGCTTCACGCGTTTCCCGAGGGCGTTAACCACGGTGCCGAAACCATTCAGCATCACAGAGTCCTGCAGAAACAGAAAGTTTTGAACGTTACAGTCCGTCAAGAGAAGCTTTGTAGGTAGACTGGATTAAACCGGTCAGTATCGATCCTCTCACCTCTGTCGTCTGCTCCTGGAAGGCGTACAGGATACCGTCGATCAGCTGCTCCTCCAGCTTGTGGTCGATGTCGGCTGCGCCCAGGTTTCCCATGATTTTCTCAATGGTTTCCATCACCATCTTTCTGTACTGCTCAGCCTCATCTTTCAGGTCATCAACGATACGAGAAATGATCTCTGCTGCTCCCACCTTGTTGGCCAGCTCGACTGTGGTGTCCACCAACTATACAGAAGATAGATTCATCAAGAATGTGTTAGACAACCATCCCATGAGTGTGCTTTCAAACATAAACAAACCATCTTTCTTTAACACAAATTTGCTAAGAATCATTGCTTAAATATTTGAATTAAGTGGGTTTCAATGCATGCATGTTTTGTGTCATGAAAATACATGTCTCTGTAACCAACGGGTGCAGGGTGAGAACAGACGGGACATGGATGTCAGGTCTGCTAGCTCTCATGTTGGTGTTACTCTAGCGAACGACTAGCCCTGATCTGACCATGGAAAGGTTGAACAGGCGAGAATAGTTCGCAGGGAAGAAAGTGAGCATAATCAGCTGATAACATGAAGGTCATTTTGGTGTCTGTGAGTTACTGTAAAATGAGTCACAGTGGTTAATAAGATGCCATCTGTATTAAGATTAACTTTATTGATCCCCGCAAGGGGAAATTCTGTTTTTATACTCTGTTAATCATGCATTAGAGGCGGAAAGAGGTTCAAGCTGTTTTTCTGTGCAGATCTTTCCGTTTGTGATCATGTGCTTATGTAATGTACACTGCTACTGTAAAGTCTAAGCAAAGTAGACGATGTAAGATGCTTTTAGGAAACTCCTAAATGAGCCCGAGTTTAGGAACGCACTAAAGGGAGTTCATGCAACAAGGTTGATTTAGTGGCACTGACACAATGATGCTGTTAGACTTGACTTGAGACCCTTGAGACATTTTTGACAAAAAAAAAAGAAAAAAAAAAGAAGAAACAAGAACATGCAAATCTCAGCTTCATATTTTGCAGCCGAGGCAGCTCAGTACTTTAAAATGTACTGGACTATGATCTCCTGTTTGTGTTTTTCTAACCTGTCTGTAGTTGCGTCTGTCCAGAGCCATCCTGTGCTGCCAGAAGTGCTTGAAGAAGGGGGGCAGGATCTCAGTCTTTATGTAGTTTGCTTCAACACCATCAGTGCCACAACACTGCTTCACCACCTGTGAGACACAAAACAGGACACGTACAGGTCAGACAAGTTGATAAGAACGTCCAGGTTTCTTTGGTTTCCTTAACAGCTGATGCATAAAAAAAAAAAAAAACAATAAGCGTTTTGGAAATGTAACCAACGTGTGCAGGTTGAGCGGACACTAATGTCGCTCTGCCAGTGCTCATGTTTTTGTTTATGTAGTGAACTACAAGCCCTGGTCGACCACGCAGCAGTCATTCAACAGTCGAATATGGGCCGAAGTATTTTTTCAATTGTTTTCAATGAGCAGAGAGCGTTTGCAGTAGCAGAAGGTTGCCCAGACAAAAAGTGCAGTACTCATCGTCTTTTTTGTACAGCTGCTACGAGCGAACTTTTCAGAAAGCCCTTTGTAAAGTTTGATATTTCCTGTATTTTAGCCTCCTGTGGATCGTGTATTGTACCCACGTCCTGCAGTAAGAAGTAACGGCGCAGGATCAGTCATGTTAACAGACTGTTGTCATAGAGACAGGACTGGCGTGTTGCAATTTATTCTCCGTGCACAGAAAAAAAAACGCTAGGTGGATGCAGGGCCCTGAACTTTTTTGGCAACAACTTTTCCTTCCAATGTTTTTACCTTAAGTACAATCTTCTTCATCTCCTCGTCAGGGGACTGGAACTCTCTGATGAGGATCAGCATCACCTCTCTGGTGTAGTAGTTTGCATACTCGGCGTCCATCAGGGGGATCAGGTAGCCGATAGCTTTCAGGAAAGCAGCCAGACCCTGGTGACGAATGCCAAGAAATAAAGAGTGAATACAAACTCACAGATCCTGTGCCTAGTAGAACTCAATGATAAATGTTATTTGTCTGATGCTCTCAGCAGAGTTTTTAACGTCTTTCTTTCTGACCTCTGCTGACAGCAGCAGCCCCTCAGAGGAGACTTTATAGCAAGTAAATATTCACACTGCAGCCACATACAGGCTCAGTGCTGGGTGTGGATCTTGCATTAAACGCCATTCAGTAATACAACAAACCACATAGTTATTTTTGTATGTTATCCAAACTGGTTTCTCACCTTTCCTCTGTGCTGTCTGATACCCTTCCACAGCGGCTTGAGGACAGAATCAAAGGATTCGATACCGTACGGAGTTGCAGCCTCGGCCAGAGCAGCTATAGCCAGGGCGCTGATGGTCCTGACCTTCTGCTGCTCGTCCACCAGACCTGCAGAACCACGCAAACAACGGAAACAGTCAGCGCTTCAACTAAAATACAAGTCTATTTGAAGACTTGCCGTCTGGTTTTATCCATTTTTTAGAACAGTAGAAATAATCAATACCTATGAAAGCAACAGTTAAAAATCTGATTGTAACCAACGGGTGCAGGGTGAGAACAGACGGGACAGGGAAGCCAGGTCTGCTAGCTCTCGTGTTGGTGTTACTCTAGCGAACGACTAGCCCTGATCTGACCATGGATAGGTTGAACAGGCGAGAATAGTTCGCAGGAAGTGAATTAAAAAGTATTCGACTTTACCTTTGCCAAGTTAGAGATGATAGTTAGTTTTAAACTTCTCACTGAGGCCGCACGATGAAGCATAACCCAGTTCAAGAGCAAAATGAGTAAAATCTCCATTGTTCTCTAAGTGATAACCCTGCCCCAATTCATTAGAATAAAAAAAGTGACCATGACTGACCGTGTTCAATAATCTCCACCAAGCTGCGGAGGTGGGGCAGAATGGCGCAGCCCATCAGGATGGCGATCTGCTGCACGATCTTGATGCCTGTGTGCCGAGCCTGCCAGGACTTCTTACTTTTGCACACTGCTTTGAGGAAAGGCAGGAGGGAGGGAATACCGAGAGCGGACGCCACCACGGCAAAGGCTCGGGCTGTGGTGTTTCTCACGTACTCGTCCATGTTGTCGATATCGGGTCGCATCGTGGAGATCATTGTAGCCAAACCTGCAGCCTGAGTGGACGGGAGTAAGACACATGTCAAACATTTGAGACATCACTATGAGAGAAAAACATCTGCATAACATTTGAAGGATCTTTAATTGGCAAATAGAAAATGTCTTCTGCTATTTACATAAAATCTGCAGGTGAGGCATCATGAGTTGTTATTAATAACCATTTCCCACAAGTCTTGGTTGAGAACAATATAAATAATCAATACCTATGAAAGCAACCGTTAAAAATCTGATTGTAACCAACGGGTGCAGGGTGAGAACAGACGGGACAGGGAAGTCAGGTCTGCTAGCTCTCGTGTTGGTGTTACTCTAGCGAACGACTAGCCCCGATCTGACCACGGAAAGGTTGAACAGGCGAGAATAGTTCGCAGGAAGTGAATTCAAAAGTGTTTTTCGACATTACCTTTGCCAAGTTAGAGATGATCTCTCTGCCTTCCACTCGGGCGTAGTAGTCCTCATCGATCAGCAGCGGCTCGATCACCACCAGAATCTGAGTGCATAAAACATTGGCGAGTTAGTGAGTTCATCGGGCTCAGTCTGTTGAATGAAGTGCTTTCACACGGCACCTACCTTGTGTACGTATGGTCGAACCAGGTCGTCCAGTTTGTAGAGAATGCGGTCAATGACTTTAACTAGCAGATGGCGCTCCTGGTCCTCCAGAGTTGGCGACATCAGTAGAGGCAGGATTTGGTTGAAGAGGGGTCCTGCTCCGAACTCACGAGCCTTATCTGTGATCTGACGCAGAGCAGCCTGGAGACAGAGACAGTCAGGGATGCGTTTTAGATCACATTTAATGACATCATTAAGTGTCAGAGGATGTGATAATTGTCTGTCCGCTGCTCTCAGCAGATCATGGCGGTCTACACTGAGACCTCTACTGAGAGCAGCAGGAGATTCTTTAGCAAGCAAATATTCACACTGTAGCCACATTCAGGCTGAGTGCTGGGTGTGGATCTTGCAATGAGGGAACCGTCTGAGCTTAATGTTGCTACGAGGAACGATTATGGCATGTGAAGAAATGGACAGGAGGAGTTCATCAGGAGTTATGAATATTGTAAGAGTCACAGTGTTTCTCAAATTCACCTCGAGCAAGTGCATTATGTTTTCTGTTCTCCAGTATGTTCTTCTCCACTCTTTAGTTCAGATTGTGATTCTGTTGAACTACACGTAGCACTGATAGAAAGACACATATTCTCATTATAGCGCCCCCTGTTCTAGTCTGACAGGGATAGTCTCTCGCTGTGAGGAGCATGTGTGAACAACCACGAGGAGGATTTCAGGGGCAGTCCTCCTGAAGTTATCTAGTAATTATAAGGAGGGTACGTGTAAAAAAACAGCTTTAGTTTGTTATTGTTGGCCAATTTGGATGTAACCACCGATCACTGCAGCAGTAGACCAGCTACTCCCATTTTCAACAAGGTCAAATATCTCTTAATGTACATGAAGTCTGGTGCCTTTAAGGGGAGATGCAGTGGCTATATCTGACCAAACAATGAATAAATCATATTTAAAAAGGTCTCCTCCTGTAAGAGTCCATGCTGCAATTTTGTTTAGACAACCTGAGCCTGTCAGTGGCAAAACGCTTGGACGTGTGTTGAGGTTTTTGAAGTAACGACTGCTACACACCTTCCTCATGGGTGGCGTCCCATTTTTTATCTTCAGCAGCAGCTTCATGATCTTCCTCTCTTTCTGCTCCTCGGGGCTCAGCGTGGACTCATCCACCTCGACCTGTTGCACAGAAACACACAGTCAGACATTATTAAATGTTGACCTTCAGACAGGACAAACTTCTGGCTGTTGATCTTTACAGCGTTTTTACGCGTGATGTACGCAGAGACGTGACTCACCAACAGCTTGTCGAAATACTGGATGTCGTCAGGTTTGAGGAAGGGGAGGTTTCCTGAAGGCTGGTCGTTCATCTGTTTGGTGGTGCGGTCCTCGACCTGCATGTGGAAGCCTGTCATGCCGCCGATAGGAGTGGGAGTGGCTGAGAGCTTACGAGCCGGAGTTCGGATTGGCACGTAGCCTGCGGGTGGAGGTAAGACCTGATGGGGAGGAAGTTGAACTGTCAGCACTATTTCATTGAATAAAACCTTCTGATGATTTTGTAAACTAGGGAAATAAATGAAACAAAAATTAGGCACAGACCTTGTATCCCTCTGGAAACATGGCATCAAGCTCCTCATCTGTGAGAGGGCGGTTCCTCTCGTCGATTTCTCTCTCCCACCTCCACGCCTGCAGCTGCTCTGGGGTCATGCTCATCAGATGACCTAAGGGGAAACAGAAGAGCAAGATTATTTTTAAATACTGAAAGACGACATGAAGGGCTGAGATTTTGTTTCATTAGCGTACAGATAAGATTTTTATTTTCTCTGGTCCTCTAATACTAAACATGGCTGTTAAGGAAATAAAACGAGAGCAATCATTTGAAAACAGAATATGACCCAATATTTGTTTTATCGATTACTTCAGTTGATAAATTCCCCTGCTGAAACTAAAGATGTCATATGAAGAAGAGACAAAGACCACACAGAGGATGCACATATAAAATAAAAACATTAAGGTCTTCTTCACCTGGTGTTGGGGTGGCCATGTTCATAGCTGGCGTTCCTATCGGAGTTTTCCCCGGGGTCATAAGTGGCGTTGAGGATCCCATCTGACTCGCAGGAGTTTCATCCCACCGAGACTTTCTCTTACTGGCCCCTGGAGTCGGAGTGTCGCCCACCGACTCGTCTCCTCTGTCTGTGCGTGGCGTTTCAGCCCAGCCGCTCCCGTGTCCCGGGGTCTCTCTTTCCGTCTTAGGCGTCTCGTCCCAGCGGTTCTTGCGGACGCTTCCTGTGGCTCCACCGTGTCCGGGTGTAGCATGGCCTGGTGTGTCCCTGCCAGGAGTGGCAGCACCGGCAGGTGTGTGGCTGGGGGTGGGGTCCCACATGCGTGTACTCGGGGTGGCTCCAGGGGTTTCACTGCCTTTAGCGCGGCCGGGGGTTTCGTCCCATCGGCTGTTTGAAGGTGTGTGTGCAGGGGTGTGTCCTGGAGTCTACACAGGTAGAAATCAAAAACACGAGTGAGACAACCTTCAACCACAACATTTATATTCCTTGTCTGGCACATAAACATCCAGAGTCTGGAGCTTCCGTGTCTCACCTCAGACGCATTGTCTGCCTGGTCCCAGCTGGACATCTTTTTAGGTGTAGTATTAGTCGGGGTTTGGTCCGCTGTCTGGTCCCAGCGACGCTTACGTTTTGCGGCAGCTTGGCTTGCAGCGGAACCGTTGACCACTTTCAGGTCCCCAGATTTGGCCTTCTCTGCCAGCTGCAGACGAATCTCCCTCTGCAAACCGACAGCGTGAGCATTAGGATAAACTGAATACAGAGAAACTTACAAACAGGGTACAGACAAAGTTCTAGTATTTGATATTTGTGGTATTGGTTTTATACCATGATGTTTCAGTATTAAAAACTTAAAAAGTGAGGACTTTTATTGTGAAAGATTTGTATGCAATGGAATGTGTTTATCTTTTAAGCTTTAGCAGGGCTAGTTGGCGGAGACTTACAAAAACACTGTCGACAGTTTTGGAATTTAAAGCCGAACCTGTGACCACGAGTCACAACCTCAGCAGATTAAGCACACCTTTAAGCAGGTGGACCTGTTGTAATGGAGATGTAAATCCATTCCAGCACATAGCCTGTGTCAGAGGCCCCAGACAGACACAAAGACACATGCTGCAGGTGAACACACACTCTTGGGAGTGGGAGAATCAACATTTACCTGATTGCACTGACTCAATTTACTTTCATTGTGAACATTAACATTTCCTGAACTTTGGTCAGGGAGTGCTGGCTCTGCTCAGATTGTCAGAGTGAAACATGCAGAAGACCGGGGGATTTAATAGAGCCATAGACTGTCACTAATCACTCATTAACTTTACGCACCACTGTAGCAGCTAGGTTGCTCAATCAGTGTTGCCTCATGTGTGCTTCAACCAAACACCAACAGTGGTGATGAATCCATGCCGTGGCAGAACGTGGTTTTTGCTGCCCACCCCTAGTAGACACTCACCTCCTCTTTGGACAGGTTTTGCTCCAACATGACGTCCACGTACGACCTGATCTGCATCTTGGGGTCCGGTGTTTTGCCCCCTGCGCGAAAGAGCACCAACAAGAACAGAGGACACTCATCAGTTTACACTCCAGGGACCCCACTTAATACAAACACAGCAAGCACAAACACAGCCAGCTAACCCTGACGCTTTGTTTTTCTTTTTACCAACAGATTAACTTACATTCCTGTTTGTTTGCTTGTCTAAAGAAAGAGCTGATTCACAAAACAAAGTCCTTCTAAATTACATACAAATAATACATTTGTCTTTCTTACATACAGTCATAGCATTCTAATGAAAAACAAGCAGATACATAGAGAGAAGAGCTGAGTTTGTGGTGCTTTCTTTTAATTGGTATAGAAGTTATAGCCATCACTGATGCAGGGGTCCTGGGCTGTGCTCTTCAGAATACGTACACTTTCAGTGCCAAGGGTCCATCTGCAGTCAGACTTCAACCGGCAGAAAAGAAGCCTAGAAAATTTCTCTTTACCATTAGTAACACTTTGGAAAAGGGTTTGAACTCACACACAACAGTATACCACCTGTGTTGCATTGATTCATTGCACTCAAAAAAAAAAAAAAACAGAAGCATCTTCTTGGGACATAACAATAATATGTGACCCTGTGGTCTAGACTCCCCCTGTATTTACACTAGCAGATCAGAATAAAAGTCAAGATTTCCAGCTAAGAATGACATTACTAAAATACAAAAGTAAATATTTGGCATTTAAATGAAGATATACCTCTTTAACATGATGCCAGAACCAGGCTGATTATTATTCTTCCATCATCTCATGTTTAGATCTTGACTTTCAGGGAAAGCTAGATGCTTAAAAAAAGTATGTAGAGAAAATATTTGGAGGTAAATATTCAAAGTGAATGCCTCGTGAATTTGACTTATTTTAAAGCCAAATAAATACAGGCTCTAATAAGGGGGTGGGGTTGAGGTTTGTTGTAGCAGGGCTGCATCTGATTCCCCTCAAACAAGCAGCCAGTGGACCCTGACCAAACTGACAAGTGCACAGATCTCTGTGATCCCCATAACCTACACAGGATGAGTTGCTGCACCCTTAACAGAGTGCAGTACAGGACTGGCAAAGCAGTACTGCTGTAGGAGAGAAATTAAGGACAGTTAGTATGGGCCTGTGGTATTGTTGTACACAATTTTTCTTGATAACATATTTCTATTTTACAGAGAGAGTTGTAAAATAAAAATATATTTACACAACAACTTTGTACAAAGAGCTCTCTCTACATGCAGGCTTCAGATAAGCCCTAACTAGACCAGGCCTGATACACTCAGGTCATCTTTAGCTCACGTTGTCAGGGGGAGTGAAGATGTGATATCAATGGAGAGAGAGATAAAACTAACTGGCTCCTGTTTGTTGTCTGTTTGCTCTAACGGCGCCCAGTCTTCAAGACTTAAGATACAATTTATGTAGGCAATCCTGTAATCTTAGGAAGCTTTACCTTTAAAGATATTATTTCATCGCCGTACCCTGCGCTGAGGCCCGAGGACCTGCATAGTTACAGGTAGATGTGCAGTGCAAGTTAAGCTACTAAAAATAGGCCTGGGCGATAATTCGATAACAATAATTTGCACGATATAAATATGCGATTTTAATTAAAGTTTGATAAATTAAGCCTGTAATTACACCACCCAAACACTGGGGGGGTGGTGTAATGCACATTAAATGGTAGTTGCCACCCAACATTAAATAGAAGAAAAAGATGAAAAAACAGCCAATCACATCACAGGGATATGGGTGGGCGGGCTTACGGACGTTTGGAGCAGAATGGAAACATAGCCGAAAGCAGGAGAAAACATCGTCGCCATGACGACAAGAAATGTCGCTCCGCTTTGGAGGTATTTTGTATATTAACAGTCCGGCAAAATACAGAGTAACGTGTTCTGTAAACTGTGCCGAAGACAAGTGCAGCTAAAACGGGCAACACCACAAACCTTTTCCACTGTTTGAAACAATATGACCCGTTAGAACACAGCGAAGGAAAGAAATGTCCAAACGTCCCACACAAGTGTTAGTGGACTCTCAGCAAGCAGTTGTCCAGTTGGCACAGTGTTACTGCCCATATCAGCGTTTTCCAGCTCCGTGCACTGAGCCTATGATGCTTACATGTACCTCTGTATTGTTTATAATGGTTGGACAATAAATAATAATTGAATCACAATAAACCATCTAGTTTCTTCAACTTCACTCAAAAGCAAAAATCAGACTTTCAATTTGACAGATATGATGATGTGACATTTATCGAGATTTTTTTTGTCATATCGCCCAGGCCTACCTTAAGAACAGATTTTTTGCAGAGAATGAAAAAGATCGGACAAGGAGACTGTAGTCAGTTTCCAACCATAACGTATTTATAAAACTAATGCTCTCTCCACTGATCATAAAATGTCACTCACAGCTAACAGGTTATCGGTTTCTAATCTCAGCGTGGTGAAGCCAAGTTAATTGCCAGGTGGATTAATTATACTACAGCCAATCATCAAAGTTTGAATCGCTTTTCCTGACAGTCTATGTCAAGAAGTCCCTGCACTGTCCGTCATAGTCTAGCCTGATGCTCAGATGGGATTGTTAACCCTTCGACTCACACACAAACCATCTGCGACCCACGTTTATTAGGTGAACTACCCCCCTCTGAACATTAAACACCTAACCACCTCTCCCACTGAAAAGTGTGGTAACCCTAAAATGTGCTGGGACCTTTTTTTTTTTTTTTTCCTACTGCACACACCCAGAAACGTTCATCTCTCACTTTACAATCATGACATTTAGAATTTACCAAACCAAGAAATTCCACATAAATCGAGCCCACACTAACAGTTTTTGCAAAGTTGATGTACAATGGAAGTAGCAAAATGTTCTTAGACCACAAAGGATTGACCACAGGGAAGGTAACAAGTCTGGGAGGCAAGCTAGTGCATTGTGGTCGAAGGGTTGAACAGCAAAACTACGGGCATAAAACCATTGGTAGTCATGGGGGAATCACATTAAAGTGAGCCGTGAAAAGGGGGGTAGGAAATGGGGAAGGTGTAATGAAGATAAAAAATAGCTAAATTTACCGTCTGCAAAAGGGTCATGACGCTCAGGTGAGATGATCATCTGTCTGCGTCGTGCTTTGTATTCATCTTCACGCTCAGCGATCTTCGCAGGACGATGCTCTGCAAATGGGTCATACTGCAAAACAGGGATTGCATATAGAGTGTGAGTGCATTTCTTAATCCAAAACAAAACAGAGAATAACTGATACAGAGAAAAGAAAAACACTTACTTGCTCGTCTGGCTGAGGAATGGCATTGAGAATTGCCACTGGTGCATGGTACCCTGGCTTCTTCTGTCCCAGTAAGCTTGTTGATGAATCTTCTTCTTCATCCTGAAGAGAGAGAGAGAAAAAGGAGTCTAGTCAAATCTCACCAAGACGGCAAGACTCTCCTAGCTCGTATGCAACAGACAAAGCGGAGCAATCAAGCCCCTCGAAAACTGTGGCATGGCACGGAGAAAAATAAATAAATGCATGGATACCTCAAGTAGCAAAATACTTACTTCCTCCTGTTCATTTGCCGCAATAGATGTGACATATCCAGCAAAACGACTGTCACTTCCTCCATAGATCTCCTGGTCAAAAAATCCAGTCGAATCAAGGCCGACTCCCTGATCTCCTTCCTCCAGCAGGGTGGCCTTCATCCCCTGGATCTCCAGGATCTGGGCCTCAATATCTAGACAAGGCAAGTTAAAAAGTCAAGTATTACTCCAAAAATAGTGTTAAGAGTTAAAACACACAAAACATTAAAGTAAAAGCCAAACAACCACTGATTTTACCACCTTAACATTGTTGAATACAAAAAAACACCCCACTAAGGCCCGAGTCTTCTCCTAAGGTCACTTTCTAACGAACAAAATATAAGATATGCGATATGAGGGGGAAAAAATAAAGGGTTGAAAATTGATGATTAAAATAATTTGATTAGTCAGTATCAGTGGCGCGTCCAGGGGGGTGATGTATGTATCTGAATCGTCTCACAACACAAAAAAGTGGATCAGTGCATCTTTAATTGTGTGAGTCTTACACCAAAAGAAGTCATGCAACAAATATCTGTATTGGAATAGATTACTTTGTTTCAAACACGGGTATCAGTATCATAATACAGATGTACTGATATCGTTGCATGGCCAAGTAACAGTGTTTCAGTAAATTGTGACTTTGAACATACTTTTTATGTCATTAATTACGGTAACACGATTTGCATGTTTCTGTTACCTTGCGTTGTGAAGTATATATGACAAGTGACGTCAGAAAGGGTAAATAATTAATATTTATTTATGTCATGTAGTGTGTGCGCACTTCAAACTTTAGGCCACAGTTGGGCCATCCCATTTATTAAAAGTGCGGACACGCCTCTGGGCAGTATACAAAAGATTAATTAAAATCTTAAGCTACAGCTCACAACAAAATCAAACAAACAACGCACTGAGCGAGCTGTGTGTGTGCGTGTGTTGGTAAATGAAGGTAATGCTAAGTGGGTTAGCACTTTCGCATTTGTAAGTTAAAGTTATCAATACAAAATAATACAAAATAGTGTTTGTTTGAATTTCAATTGTATACGTTTCGGATTTTGGCTCTGAAATGGACTGTTTTAAACCAGAGAAACGCTACAAGACAAAGCTAATTTTCCACGGCGGTTGGTACAAACGTTATGAACCAGCGCCATTATGAGCCGCCGCGTTGCGTCGTATCGCGGCCTGCTGCTTAAAGTGGGTTTTATGCATTAAATAAGAACATAATTACGTGCTGCAGGCATTACAACAGAAACTAAGCACCTCTATGACACATATTTAAGTCAAAAGACGAAGAATAAACTGGTTATTAGATTCATTTTTTATAATTTCTTTACCTTCGTGCGTTTTGGCGATCTTCGCCATTTTGGTGCTGGTTGTTCGACTCTGCAACCGGAAGCTGGGATAATCCACACTTCCTTCTTTTCCTTCTTCTTCGTCGATGTTTATTGGGGGTTGGTATCACCCTCACCGCCAATAACTGGACTGGAGTGTGAAGCAGTTTATTAGGCTGTACAAAAAAAATTAAAACAATAAATAAAATAGATTAAATTATTTTAATCCAGTTTTATTCAGACATTTGAGCAAGGCTTTATATTTATCTTCTTCAATACGTAATACATTTCCTCAGCTCCTCCTGGTCTGGACAATGGACTGTAAATATAAAAAAATAAGTGTATACAGTAGTCTATGGTCTGGACCAAAAATATTCACATACATAAGATAGACACAACAAAAAGTGGCTTGAAGCTTTAAAAAGAGAAAAGAGAAATCGTAAAGGAGATCACAACGATAACACTTGGGTGTTAGTGATAAGTGGAAATAAATATTGAATGCAATAAAGTAACATTATTTTTTAAAGGCAGTGTCAACATAAAACCCATTGAAGCAGTTAAAAGGAACTCGACTCATTAAAAAGAGATAATCAAACTTTTTGTTTCACTCCTGATGGCCTGGACAGCTGGAGTGTTTTTTATTTTCATGTTTAGGAGTTTTAGGGAAATTTTACAGGAACACCAAGAGGTTAAGGGAACAAAAACACTTTTTTCAGTTCTTAAAGTATTTATTTATTTGACTTTTAAAGGTGCAGTTTTGGTAGACAAATTTGATAGTTGGAGAAGTGTACAGATTCTGTGGTATATGTTCATAACTCTATACGCAAACTGTCCTCAGAGGAACATTTGGTCCCTGTAAAACTGTTTGAAGATAAAATGCTCAGCGAAAAGTTAAGGTGTTGGGCCCGCAAAAGTGAAACCGTAACTCTCCTGGTAGCTTTTCAGCTCCAAACAGTGTTCAGGGACCCATAAAGTTTGTCTATTCATTTCAGAAAATATGAATTGTTTCACTTCTCCAACCTTCAAATTCCACCACCAAAACGCACCTTTAAGCACACAAAAAGTGTTTCCATTTGTACACATTCCAAGTGTTTGGTGTAAAGCGTTTCAGTTGTGCCATGTAGAAATGTACAAAAAGGAAGAAATGTCAGTATTTTCAAATATATTTCACAACAAAAACTTGTTGTAAAGCTTTGATATTTCATTGTTATAGTAGCTTAAAAAACAAAAGAGCAATTAAATGAAGTGAGGATTTAGGAAGACTATAAGAAGTCGACATCGCATAAAAGGGAGTTTTTAAAAGACGTCACTGATTCAGCAGGAACCTAATAACCCTTATTCCTCTCAAATACTCAAGAGAACCGTCTCTATAACCTCACTAAACGACATGTTTTCCTACGTTTATATAAACATTGTCGACGTCACATTATTATCACTAAACAAAAGATGATGTGCAAAGTTTAAAAGGTTTAATGGTGGTGACCTTACAGGTGAATAACCTTTAAGCTCACCTGAGTGTACCCCGTAGCTCAGGCTGACAGGGCAACCCGAGCCAACACATCTCGTGACATTCCTGTGCTTGCAAGTTAGTGCGTGAGCCCGGGGCGGACACGTCGGTACTTTCAGTTGACGAACTGTAACACTAGCCAATGACAACTCTCAGCGGGCACGAGTTGTCCAATCACAGACCGATTTCGATTGATGACATCATCGTAGGGGGCGTGGCTAATCTGCGGGCACTTCACGCCTGTCTGTTTGGGATCAGCGAGTGAAGAAGAAATCCGTCAAAGAAGAGACGATGGCGAGGGGAAGTCGGAGTCTGAGGAAAGTGGCCGAGTGCTTTAAACAGTTACCTTCAACAGCAAGCCGGGAACTACCGGCTAGAAACAACGTAAGGTAAAGTATTTCATCTTTTATCCCTCGACTGAACAAGGAAAGTTTAGGAAAAGACACTCCCTAGACTGAGTTTTAGGGTCGCTATGGCACCATAGACTGTAAATATTACGTATTAATATATATTACTACATAAATATTATTATGGTACCGAGGATACTCTTAACAAATCTGCCTGCTATTTGTGTATTTTGCCTTGTGATTGTCTTTTGAGATTAGTAAACTTGCTAACTCATCAAACGAAAGTACATCTCAGGTATCGGTGTACCGGTTTAACGAGTGACCGTGTTAACTGGTGACTTTCAGCCATTGATGCCATGGGATGGTTACAATATATTTTTAAAACAGAAAGAGCCTCTTGTGTAGTCTCCAATCAAAGACAGATGTGATAAGTTGATTGTGACATAGTCACATACAAATAAATAAACAGAGCGGGACTCATTAGTAACACTTACGCGGCGGGAAGTCTCCAGTCAACACGGTCACTGGTTTCACCGTAACACCGGCAACTTTATTAAGGCGAAAATAACTATCCTGTTCACTATTTTAATTCATTTCAGTAATCGTTACTGGCATGTATGTGACAATGACATATATAATAACAAAGAATAAAAAAGAAAAACAATAATATAATAATAAATCAATCGTTCCAATAACAATAATCAATAATAATATTATAATAAGAACAATAATCTGATAAATATATATAAAAACTCAAATGTAATTAAAAAAACAATAACAAATAAACAGAAAAGAGTGAAACTCATAGTTCTTATTTTGTTTATGAAAGACTTTGTTTTACAGTGTGCGTCTGTAAAACTTGGTGTTGTGTGTTTATGCCTTTGTGTGTCTGGATTGGTTGTGTGTCTGGATTGGTTGCGTGTGTGTGTGTTCGGTGTGTAAATACATGGCCTAGTGTTTAAATTGTTATTGTGATTGCATGTAACCTATTCATGTGTTTGTTTGGATGTGTGGGTGTGTCTGTGGTTTTGTATTTTAACTATTATACTACTAATAGTAATACTTACTAACATTATCTTCTTGTTGTCAGTGGAATAACGTCTTTCTAAACATTTAAAATACTCCTATGCATCACTTTCTTAGACCTGCTGTCATGTACAGTTCTTACAAGGGGTGTGAATCCCCAATTCAATTATGTGGAGCTCTGATCTGTTTCAAGGTCAATTCATTAAAATACAGACAGTTCGGTCCGATAAAAAAAATGATAATTAAAGTCATGTTTAACCAATCTGTATAACCAGTGTCGCCACTTTGATTTGTGTGTGTGTGTGTGTGTGGTAAGTGAGGTAAACATGGCATGTAAACATTACTGCTGCTGCTACGTCACCTGGGCATATTAGGCAGGTAATCACAGCCACAGGCAGCGAGAAAAGGAAGTCACAGTGAATGGGGACGGGGGATTAGGAATCAGAGGAAGCCACACAGTTTTTTTCCCCATGTGTGTGTGAACAAGTTTTTTTGGGGGGGTCCGGAATGTTGGTCAAGAGTATTTAGAAATGACTCCAAGTTCCCTCCAGTTAGATTACCACTACATTAATGCCTGTGTCACAACAATAGTTTTTCCCTGAATGCTGAATTTAGAAAGCTCCCAAGACTTTTAATATTGCTGTGTTTGGACGGACAATTGGCTCACCTTGATGGTCAGAACTATTACGAGATCTTGCAGCATTCAGCTTGCAAACGAGCTCTTTGTCCGTGTGTTAATCGGCCTAAATATGTCCCGCCTCTGCTGCACGATGTTGGCGGTTAAACGTGCACGCTGTCCTCCTCCTTTGCTCTGAAATCCAATAACTTAACCATGACCCTTCGTATCTGCATGGACTTGGCAGTTTTAAGGTCAGCACCATGTGTCAGTTGTATCACATTTCAGGTGGTAGTAGTGAGTGGACTATATTTGAAGTGACCTGTACTGGAGTTTACAGGCTGCACGCACGTTATGAGAAGCACTGAATAGCTTTTGTGGGTCAATTCAATCTAACAGTGTCATTGGTATTCCTGTCACAGCACATTAAGAGGTTACATAACGGCTGGTTATATATGCACAGAGAGCTTTGTTGTGCATCCAAACCATCCGGTGCCAGGGACATCCTGGGACAGGGTGCCACAGGTGTTGCGGGTGACAGCCGGGCACAGTGTACAAATCAAACAGTCGGACAGATACTGAAGTTGTGGGCAGACACAGTGTCTTTATGTTTATCCATGGCGTCTCTACCCTCCAGGGCTTAAAGTCCTCCCCATTCATGGTGTCAGAGAAGATTCAGTCCTACTGGCTCCAGTTTAGTATTTGGCCATCAATAACTTTCTTGATGAAGGTTTTAATTGGTTGTCGATTCATTGGTCTGCACTTTTTGTGTTGTCCTTGAATTTGAAGCGATGTCAGTCTGCTGTGTAGTCCTTCGGCTTCTTCAACTCTCCTGACACTAGGGCTGGTTAAAAATATAGATACATTGATGCAGTTATTATTTTCCCAATTCAATATAGATTCAGGGAAATTCTGAGATCGATTATTTCCATTGTAATGACACCGCCCTCCAGTGGGGGCGCTGTTGGTGCCACTGTACTTCAGCATACTGTACTTTAATGCCAGTCTTTGTTTATTAAAGAACAATGCAACAATAAAATACAGTTTTGAGTCAGTTTGTTCTAAACCTATACAAATAATGCACACAACATTATTTAAAAAGTATCAGAAGGTACTGTGATGAGTTATCTGGGTATTTCTGTCATCTGCGTATTATTAAATCGATATCGAAGCATATTGATCAATATTGAATCGTGACCTAAAGAATTGAAATCAAATTGAATAATGAGGTTGTGGACAATACTCAGCTCTACCTGACACATCTCGATACTTTTCATACCTGGATGGAGCAGTCATCTCCTTGTCAGCGTACTGTAGGCTCTGATGAAACATTTTATGTAGAAACTTCAAATGAAGACGTAATTTCATGTAACTCTTATCTATCAGCTCCTGAGCCCAACGATCACAATCTAATCACTACACTTTAAACTCTTTTTGAAGTCTTTACCTGAACATTAAACTCTCTGTCCAGGTAAAAGTATTTTTCTCTCTTACAAATGAAAGTTTAAAGCAACTTGAAGTTCACAGGAGAACACGGCGGCTGAGCTTCATTATTAAATGTGTTTTTCTTTCTGGCGCATTCATTTCAGTCCCTACTGTATCAGAAGAAATGTAGTTAATGAGTTACTCAGCCTGTTTTCTGACCTATTTCTGCAACCTTTCAACCCAAGGGGAGGGGGGGGGAAGGGGGTCATACATTAAGCACATGTTAAGAAATGTATGGAAAGAGTCACAGCCTCGGAGTTAGAGAAGTCTGAAATTGACAGGGATTATTCTTTGAAGATTGAGTCATTTATTTTACCGATTTGACAAATGTTTGGCAGGAGATGTGAGAAGGTTTCCACGTACAGTCCACTTATCTCCAGGAAGAAAGGCTTACTGTATGCAGCTGCTTGTTTCTGTACAGGGATGGAAATCTGTGTTCTTTCATTTAGATTTAAGTCGACCAATCATTTGTTGCAGTCGAGGCAGACGTGAGAAACTGTGTCAGTAAAGCCTCAGACTGCAGGATCACCGGTCGATTTGAGGTCCGATTCCTCCTTCCCAAACAATCAGGGGGTCGCTCCCGACTCAAAGCTGGTCAGAACCGATTATCTGCCCAGACTATCTTGTAGTGCGAGTCCTACAAAGATCATATAATGTCTCTGATCTGCTCGGAGATCATCAGGGACGTCCCGATTTAAAATCAAACATGTTTGATATTTAGGATCTAAAAAAAAGGTAAACATGTTTCCTGAGAGCTTTCTGTGGTGATTCATACCTTCACCTCAGTTTTCTGACCCCTTCTGTGTTCTTCTAATTTCTCTTGTGATCAGATACCTGTCGTCATGCGGGATCCTGATGACCCGCGTGCCTCCGCTGATCGGTGCCGCCATGACGGGCCGAGGCGTCACGCTGCCCGTGCGCAGCTTCTTCAACCTCGCCAACTCCCTCTCCAAGAAGAAGGAGTACTCAGAGAGACGCATTATTGGGTGAGGAAAGCAGGGCTGCACCTATAAAAAGAGAAGGCACATCGATCCGGGTTATGAATGAAGGGATGGAAAAATTCGGCCGATTATCGTGTACAGAAATTACATTCTCAGGCCAAAAAAACATTAAAATGTTCTATGTGGATCAGTCCAAACTCCCCCTTAAATGAAGAATGTGCGACATGTTCTACATAAATATATCATAAATCCTGTGTAAATGTGTCTCTGAGTCATGACTGTCTACAATGCGTGAGAAGCTCGAGTCCCGCTGGCTGTGTTGTTGTCAGAGCTGTGTTTACATGGACGGGACGGCCGGCTCCTCGTCTTGTGTATAAAAGCTGTTTTAGTCAATGACTAGAGAGAAGAAGAAGAACATACTCACTGATTATTTGGATGTCATGCAAGAGTTTTTAGATCACGCTCATTCTGTGTCAGTTTACATGCAATGTGAACGCTAACATTAGCATGCTAACACAACAATGCAGGACACAGGTGATCGCAGCTCGAGCTTTCTCTGTGCATACGCTTAACGATGCCTAATTATGGTGCACCCTAATTCATAACTCCTTCTTATGAACATGAGGGGAGGGGGATTGGAGGTGCAAAGAGAGGCCTTTTGGATTTCTACCCTCAGCACAGTCGAACATTACGGACTTAATGAGGAACTAAGCCTCTCATGTTTCCTGTGATGTTGTTTGTAATGTCTTCAGCGTGGAGTAATAGTTGTTATCTAGTAAACATTATAACATTTGGGTTGGGGTGTTTTATGAGAGGGCAACACATAGTTCTGGTTAACTCCCTGCTTCCCTAGGTCTCGGTCTCGGATTCAAAAGCGTTTTTACTCGGTCTTAGACTAGGCAGACTCTGGATTTTAACATACTGACACACACATATATAAAATCATAACTCCTAAGTTGTAGTATGAGTTGTGTTGCTCCGTCTGCTGCAGCTCTACATTATGTTTCTCTCTGAGTGACGCACTAAATGTTCTCTTTGTTCCATGAAGAGGTCGTAACCACTAATCTGCTGTATAAATAGATTCAGGGAGCAGCAGCTCTCCGGCCCTCAGCTGGAGAGATGAACTTATATAACAGTGACACTGAAAAAAGATTCCTCATCTGCCTTTTATTCACCTCTTTTTCTTCTTCTTCTTGTTTACTGAATGAATCGTATTTTCCTCCTTTCTTCCTCATTCTCTCTGTTTCCACTCTCTCCCTCACTGACCCACTTATTCTTTTTACTGGGTCATGCATCCTTCACCGAGCCAGGCGTGTTGAGCGTTATGTCAGAGAGGCTGCTGACCCATTTCTACTTCCTGACGTGCACACACACTGGGAGCTCACGGCTCTTTTCCCCCCTCTGCTTGACTCCTCAGGTATTCCATGCAGGAGATCTACCAGGTGGTGGCCGAAGTGGAAAACTACCGCCTCTTTGTGCCCTGGTGTAAGAAGTCTGAGGTTGTGTTCAAACGAGCCGGATTCTGCAAGGCCAAACTGACTGTGGGCTTCCCTCCTGTGGTTGAGAACTACACCTCCCTTATTACCTCAGTGCGCCCCCACATGGTCAAGGTGAGGTATTGCATCGCAGCGTATGTGTGCTAAATGCCCAGAGCTTTTTTGAAGGCACATTTTCAGATCCAAACTCTTCTTAGTTTATGTGTAAAGTTGACTTCTGCAAAAGTTTCAAGTCGGATTCAGCTGCACAAAGTTTTCATGGATCAATAAAGAAGCGGATCGACTTTTTTCAAAACCTGAAAATCACTTGATTTGAGCTTGTGGGTAACGGCACATATGTATCTCAATCGGATCGGTGTCTGTCCCGTGTTCTTTTCAGCAAGCCAATTCAAACGTTTCCTTTTTACTTTCAGGCGTCCTGTTCAGAGGCTAAACTCTTCAACCACCTGGAGACTGTTTGGCGCTTCAGTCCTGGCCTCCCGGGTTACCCTCGGACGTGCACTGTGGATTTTTCTGTAAGTTTTCAAACACGTTAAAAGATAAATGTGAAAGGTCAAAAAGAGGGTTAGATTGTCCTCCTCTGTGAACACATGTCTGTACTCCCACGTGTCTGAGCTTGGCATGTCTGCAGCTGCAGTGTTGGATTTCACATTGGATCAGTTTCAAACTCGCTCACACACACACTCGGCCCGCTGACGTCTGTACACGCTGTTTGAAATTCTGCTTCTAACTTTGTCCTCCCTCTCGTCCGCCCTCAGATCTCCTTCGAGTTTCGCTCCCTCCTGCACTCCCAGCTCGCCAACGTCTTCTTCGACGAGGTGGTGAAGCAGATGGTGTCTGCGTTTGAGCGTCGCGCCTCAAAGGTGTTCGGTGCAGAGACGCAAATCCCGCGAGAGCTCATGTTCCACGAGGTTCACCACACGTAGCGCCCCCCCTCTCCCCCCTGCTGCACCAACCCCCGACACACAATGCCCGACGCCAGAGAGACAAAGAAGAGACTCCACGTGTTCACAGAGAAACCTGCAGTGCCTTTCTCACACCTATGACCAAGTTCATTCCCAACAGTTCACTATCTCATGTTTTTTATAAACAATGTCGCTCCACCAGCTCAACAACTTGTCGGTGCTCAGAACACATTTATACTTTTTTTCATTTCCATTTACAGAAAATTACAACCCATGCCGGGTCATCATTAGCTGCTCTTATTGCAGGTGCTAGCGGCTAGCTGCTGTGGGTAGTTTCTGTTTCTGCTCCATTAAACAAACGAGAAACGTCCCCAGAAAAAATGCTATAAAGGCGACTAACTATTATCTTAACTAGAGCCTCTCTGGGAGGAAAATTGAGAACGACGCAGAATGCATGATGGGAAATATGCCCAGTTTTTGGACCTGCTGGCATCTGCACTTATGTAAACAAACAGAGTTCAAATGTTTCTGAGAATATTTAACATTATCACACGTTTTTAACAAAGTCTTGTGCAGCCCGCAGTCAGCTTCATACCGCACAGAGAAGACTGCTAACTAAGGGCTTGTGTCCACCTGCCATTTTTCAATTGTTCCCAATGAGGAGAGAGCAGACACCGGAGAAAAGGCGCAGCGTCCTTCTTCAGAACGCTCCTCCTTTTGGTTGCTTTCGCTCCAAGTGCTTCTTCTTTCTTTCAACTTTTCAGAAGGGCCGCTGTTGATGTCACTTGCGATCTTAAAAAAAAAAAAAGCTCATCATCCAGGCAAAGCAGGCGGCCAAACATCCTCCATTTGATCCTTCGAGTGAAGAAAGTAAAAACCCTCAAATTGAAAACATACAGTAAAAAGTAACGGAGCACTGTCGGTCATACAGTGGCCGTTGTCATGGAGACTATACGCATGTGCAGGGCCTTTATTCTCAGTACAAGCGCTTCATCGTGGCGGCCCAGAGCACACAGCCAGGGCTTTTCTGCCTTAAAACAACTCCAGGTGGACAAGGGTTTTAAGAGGTTCAATGTTTTGTACAAAAAATATATATTGGGTTTATATTGAAAAACAAACATCATTGGAAATAGTTTTATGCACACTCATTTTCTAGTGGATGGATCCTGAATATGACAATAATCTGACTTTGATAGGGGTAAGGCTAACAGTTGAGATTTCCCTCATTCCACATCCAGCATTTGGTGTTTGAGACACAAGGAGTGAGCTGAGATGAGTCGAGTTCAGGGAGAGATCTTTGGGGTATATCACAGTTTGTGACAGTCTTTACAATTCTTGGAAGAAATCTTCACTCATGCAATCAAAGTCCCACCAGTTGTGTCTGCTTGCCACTCTGCTCGTCGAGTCCTCCGTCTTTCTCTCTGCGTTTACAATCTGTGATATGTCTGTGGGAGCCTCTCACTCACGCAGGGTTCTGTTGTATATATTGTGGATCAGCTGTGTTGGGAAACAAACACACTGACAGGGAGAAGTAGATTTGAAGCTGTAGGAGCAAAGGGAATGTTGGAGGAGAGCGTTTTTAGCAGGTGTACTGTGTGCAGGGATTCAGGTAAAGCTACTGGATGTTGTGTGGCGTTTAACTCGTGGGTGGGCTCTGATGCTGTTACAGTTAACTTAAAGGTCACATATCCTCCTCCTCTTCAACCAGTGTAAATAAGTCTCAGAGCTCCCCAAAACATGTGTGAAGTTTCTTGTTCTAAATCCACTCTGATCCTGTATTTGATCATGTCTATACCCTCTATTTCAGCCCTGCTCAGAACAGGCTGTTTCTGTGTCTGTAACTTTAAATGTAAATGAGCTGTGTCTGACCACGCCCCCTCTCTGGAAGGGCTTGGGTGTTTCTGGCTTTCTCACTCCATGTCCTATTGTTTACGGTGAGAAGGCAGACTCAGAGGTAGAACAACACCTAACTGTGGGAGTGTCACCCACCTGGGGAGGGGCTACTGCCCTTTGTGATGTCATTTCAAACAACCTGTTTGAGCACACATTTTTCAGAAAAGTAGAGCAGGGAAAAGACGGAGAGGATGGACTTTTCTCATTGGGGGGTTTGTAGACAGACTAGAGACACATGTTAGTGTTAGAGAAACATGGGGAAGAGGATTTTACAGAATATGTGACCTTTAAAGACATTTAGAAGTAAATGAAACAATCCGCAGCAAGTACAGCTTTTTAAAATCTCTTTCTGTATATTTTGAGAATATGTTACAAGAAAGGGAGACACAGTGTCACTGGAATCAGAGGTTTTAAATGTTCAGTAAAACCCGGACGATGATTCTTCAAAATGAGCTGAACTGTTCCTTTGCGTCTCCCGGAGATGACTACTTATATTTTCTTTCTAATGTTACAAACGCGCTCTCCTCGGCTGCTGGACGTAGAGTCACTCGAGGATACAGCAGTGAGTAAGTGTGCAATATAAGCCATATCCTGTAGGCGAGCATGTTACTGCCCAGCATCAATCAAAGGACCAGAACTGTGTGTCTGTGCTGAGGCCAGGGTCAAACATCTTGACCTTTAACCCGTCTCTAATCTGCTTCACAGAGTGCCTCCTCATCTCCTGGCTGCATATTTATCTTTCATATCATACTCATTTTAACATATTTATTACTCAGTTTTAAGTGTAAATATTGGTTTGAAGACGACTACAGAACGACCTGCTTGTAAAGAGAAATTGGGTTGTTGCGTACACAGTGTTTGACTTCAGAGCGATGAACCGACTGCATGATTTATAAACTGTGTTTTCTAAAGAGCTGACTGCTGTTTGTTTCTTTGTTTGTGGGTGTGTTATATCTCAGCACGGCGTCGCTTCATGTGCGACCCATGTGGAGCGAGCAGAAATATTGTGGTCACATGAGCGGTAAGAATAGAAAGCAGCATGTGGACACAGTGATGGTCATGAGGTTTGTAAATGTCACCGCTGCCAAGGGTCAGGCGTTATTTTTATCTGTTTAAATTCAGCAAGGGAAATATCTGGGAATAAAATCCCAACCCAAAAAAAAAAGAGGTTTTCAGGATTCAGAATCCATTACAAGCTTTTATTTTGCACAAAATCCTGTCCTTGGTGTGAACCCGGCCACACCCACTTTTACATGTACATTTAAAAGAAGCTTCATTTGTTTGTTTTTTTCTAGTTTGACCCTTCACAAGCTTCCTGAGTCAATGAGGTTCTGGGTACCCCGACTGTGAGCGGCTCTCACTACAGGAGTTCGATTTAAATCTTTTTAAATGTGTATAAAGCCGACTTTGCAATATTTAAATTACTCAACATTTTAAATATTGTTTACCACGACATAAAGTAGACATTAGGTTTGTAGCAGAACAAGTTCCCATTCAATAATTCACCGAATGTTTGTATCAGACATGAAATATTGAATTCAAAGCAACTTAAAGTACCTAAAGTTAGTGTGGACTATAGCGCCCCCCTGTGGACAAAAGGATACAAAAAGTACACGGTCCCATTTAAATCAACAGAGCCCGTATTCGTCAACATCCTGGGAATCCTCAGAACTAACTTCACCTCAAGAATCCTACCTGGGTCTTAGCCTAGGATTGATTTAGGAACATTCTCAAAGCAAGGAAGAGACCGAAACTCGCATTGAGAGGGCGTGGTCGACCCCTGGTATGATGTTTTTTTCAGCAGCCGTGATTGGCTAATCCAAAGAAATGGAGAAAAAAAGTCTAGAGTTAGTAAGGTATAGAGTTAACTCGTTAGATTGACACCTTCAGGAAACACGGAGACACTTTTACTTTAAACACACAGAGTGCTGCCACAAACTGAGAAGGCAGCAAAGCTCTGGCTGAAAAGAACATGAGGTACAAGACATCTGAACAATTAAATTTATTAAATTAAGAAAAAGAAAATCAGCATGAATCATCGTTTACATCGTACACAACACGACCTGGAAGATCGACACTGTTCACATCTGGGAAAATGGAAACCAGCTACCGAGTTTCATGTCTTTTTGTAGTTTGAAGCAAAGTCGATGACACACAGGGCTTCACATTTACACCTTGAATGGCGTTTAACGTGAGCCTAACCTCACGTCTCCTCTCTCAAACAATCAGCTGTTAACGTTCAGCCATAACGACATAAAAGGCTGAAAAAGTCACACTTCTGCATGCATGAAAACGACTCGGAGACTTTTTAAAGCCTCAGTAAACATTATTTCGATCATTCATTTTTTTAAGCAGGCCTCTGGTGATGTTAAAAACTCGTCATTTTTAGGCACTACACGCAGACACTGGAACAAAGGAGACATGAAGTCACAGAAGGAGGTCAAAGTTCTGTAAGAAAAAGGGTTTAATTCAAACAGACGACAGATTTGACCTCACATTATTTTAGCTGAGAGAGAAAAAAAACAAACATCAGATACATGTTTATATTTATATATATAAAAAAACAAGAATTAACAAATGACAAGAAACAGACGAAACAATCCTGGCTATGCATGTTTTCTCATCACACCCTGCTGTAATACAGAGCTTCATTACGTGTTTACTATGTTAGCTTCTTCTCTGACACCTCGTGTGTGCAGACGGCTGATGGATCTGTTTTCCCCCCAGGAGCAGAAGAAGACGAGGGGGGGGGGGTGATAGAGAGGGGAGGGGGAGGTGACGGTCGCTTTCAGCTCCATCACCTTCTTTAGTCAGTGTGGGCAAAGTTTGGTGGAGGCGGGTGCAGGTTTCTCAGAGGTTCTTTTTTTTTTTTGTCCCTCAGCAGCCGCCACCCTCCTCCTCCTCCTCCAGTCCCACCCTGCATTTGTAAGTCTGTACAGCGAGTCGGGACGGTCACATTAGAAACCCATTCCTCCCATGCCGCCCATTCCGCCCATGCCGCCCATTCCTCCCATGCCGCCTCCGGGCATCTCCTTCTCCTCCTTGGGATCTCTGTGACGACGGCCTCAGCGGTGGAGAGCAGGGAGGCGACTCCTGCGGCGTCGAGGAGGGCCGTCCTCACCACCTGTGGAGGGAGGAGATCACAGGTTACAACATTTCTGGGATGAAGGGAGGGTCGTTATCAGAGATTGATGACACTTGAAGACAACCACCGTGCAGATGGAAAGCAAAAGAACTTCTAAAAATGTGTAGTACACATGCCAGACCAGTAGGTGGCGGTGTGACTGTAATCTCCTGCAGAAAATCATCCACAGTGAGTGAAGTCTGTACCTTGGTGGGTCGATGATGCCCTTCTCCACCATGTTGACGTACTCTCCCAGCATGGCGTCATAGCCGAGCTCGCCGATCCCTGCAGGATCTTCTCCACCACCAGAGAGCCCTCCACGCCGGCATTCTTAGCGATGGTCATGGCCGGGATCCGTAGTGCCCGTCTGATGATGTCCACACCTGTTGAGAACACAGACAGGAAACCAGATTTATGAATGAACTGTTGAGTCAACCTGGGGTTCCTCTTCCATCCCATGAGCTGGTTAAAAACACGTCATATATAAAAGATCGAAAAATGGAAAACCTTACCATTATCTATTTTGGGGCGTATAAATGAAATTAAAATGATCTCCCTTCCCAGATTTTCTCACATCAGCTTTTTTCAAAGAGTTAGACTCTGTAATTTTGTCTTGCATTTGGAACTACAAAAATTACAGAATCTCAAAAGGCGCACCTGCAAAAACCCAGGTCTGTGGGGGGGCTGGGCCTACCAGTATTCAAGCACTACTACTGGGCTGCCAATGCCAGGGCCTTGATGTTTTGGCACAGTAAGCCAGGCGGTTTGGCCACCGATGCCCCCTTGTGGCTTGACATGGAGGCTAAACCAGATCAGGAACTTTTTAAATCTACCAGAGACCTCTGTGCAGACACCATCTGTTTTAACCACTCTTTTTTGTCTTTCATGTCTGGAGGGAGAGGAGTTTGGTAAACGTCACATAGCTCTACATAGACGGACACTTCAGCTGAGAGAGAAACTGAATCTGCCCCAGTCACACTTTTTCGCTATCTGCAAATGAGACACTATGTTCGATCCAAAACTCATGATTTTGAGACCCTCCCAGCAGAAAAGGCATTTTCTGATGTCCAGAAAAACCCTCCTAACTCCAGACATCTCATCTCTAAGTTTGTGTGTTTGTTTGACTGTTGTATCTCAGCCCATACTGTAAAGATCCGGGAGGCTTGGACAGAAGAATTGGGCATTGCTCTGTCAGAGGTTTTGTGGGATAAGGGTCTGTCTATGATACATTCTTGCTCTTCAATTTAAGGTGGTCCACCGACTTCACTATTCTAAACACAGGTTGCATCGATTCTATTCTTTTGTTTCCCCGTTGTGTGACAGGTGCAAAGTTTCAGAGGACACATTGACTTGTGCCTTCTGGTCCTGTCCTTTGCTCACTGGAGTCCAAAATATTTAACTGGTACTCTAAGGCCCATAACAAACTCTTTTATCCAGATGCTGAAGTTGCAATCTTGGGCTGCTCACAGTTAACTGAAAGTCTTCCCTCACGCCTGCAATGCTCCCTAGCACTGAGGATGATTATCGCCAAGAGACTCATTCTGACAGACTGGAAGTCGTCTTCCCCACCTTCTTTTCAAAAATGGATCTCTGAAATTATGTCAGCCATACGAATGGAAAAACTCAGGTTCCTGAGGACAAGTTCAATCAAGAATTTCTTGGCAATCTGGGACCCATTTCTTGCCCATTTGGACAAAGTTGATGTGGGTTGAAAACTCACCTTGTTACCACCACGGACTTCTTCTTAAGAGACTTAAACAGCGTATTTGGGTTTACTGAGTGACTGGCAGCTATGAAAGAAATGTCTGTTTACATTTCACTTGTTTATTTTCACCTAATTTTTTAATGTACACGTCTGAGCCGTGTTTGTTTGTTTGAAAAAACTGCAAATAAAATATTGGAAAAAAACAAACAAAAAAAACACATCATATAATCCCTGTGAGCTCATGTGTGTGTTTTACTCACCGATCTTCTGGTCTGAGTTTGCAGCTTTGATCTCGTCGAGTGAAGGGATGCAGCGCAGCAGAGCGCAGCCTCCTCCAGGTACAATTCCCTCCTCCACTGCAGCTCGTGTGGCGTTCAGAGCGTCTGTGACTCGGTCCTTCTTCTCATTCACCTCCACGTCACTCGTTCCTCCGATCTAAAAAAACCCCACATAAATAAGTCATTCATCACAACCTTTGTTGAACTGCGTTAATAAGAAGTGTGTAACCCTCTGTCATCGTGTCCGAGACAAACCTTGAGAACAGCGACGCCGTCCGACAGCTTGGCGAGCCTCTCGTTGAGTTTCTCCTTCTCGTAGTCGCTTGTGGTGCTCTCCAGCTGCTCGACGATCTCCGACGCACGCTTCTCGACATCGGCGGGGTTTCCTCCTCCCTTCAGCAGCAGGGTGTCGTCTTTGGTGATCTGCACCTCGCCGATTTTACCAAAGTCGTGAGCCTGGATGTCCTCGAGAGCGACGCCCAGAGTATCCTCTCCAAACACCTGCAGAACGGACAACATAAATGCTGTTATAGAGAGCAGAAGTGCATATTTGAAGTCACACACTGATCACAGATTCTGATGCAAAGGAGGAATAGGTGAAACACACACTGGTCATGAATGTCATGAATTGACAGCCAGGTGTTTGCCAAGTCTACCTGCTGTTAACTGGGTAACAAATCAAGCTCTGGAGTGAACGTCGGGGACACGGATCACCCAAAGGGACAAGTGGAGGTCATGTTTGAAGTCGCCCCCAAGTTTAATGTCAGAGGCTCCCATAAAGTAGCAAAGACATGATCAGTTCCTTGAGATTTAAAAGTGGACTTACAGTGCCCCCGGTGGCGACGGCCATATCCCTCAGCTGGTTCTTCCTGTTGTCTCCGAAGCCGGGAGCTTTAACAGCCACTACCTGCAGACCGACCTTCAGCCTGCAAAATAAGTTGAAGTATTCATGAGTAATCAGGGCGAGAGAGAGAGAGCGTGGGAAAGGAGCCACAGATCAGACTTAAACTCGTCCGCTCAGAGGACTATATCCTCTGTGCACGGGAAGCGACCTAACCTAGGCCACCGGCGCCCCAGTTAAGACCAGTAGAGATGAGAGAGTAAACATTAAGTACCTGTTGAGGACGAGCGTGCTGAGCGCCTCCCCGTCCACATCTTCAGCCACGATCACCAGTGGTTTGCGGTGCTGGTTGGCGATCTCCAGAGCCGGCACGATGCTCTGCACGCTCGAGATCTTCTTCTCGCTCAGCAGCAGGTAGGCGTCCTGGAACTCGACCTTCTGACCTGCAAAGCGGAGAACCCAGATTCGTTATAGGGACACATGACTTATTGTGTAATAATATTAATAATGCACAGGTTCAGGACGAGCGTGCTCACCTTTGGCGGTGTTGATGAAGTAAGGGGAGATGTAACCGCGGTCGAACTTCATGCCCTCGATGATCTCCAGCTCATCGTGCAGAGTTTTCCCGTCCTGAGAGGTTAACACAAGTTTAGTCTCTTCACATAAACAGGATTTATCGTCTGCAGAACAGGTAATCCATCATTAACACAGTCACTAAGACTTTTAAACCGAGCAGTAACTTTAAGACTCTTAGGACGAGAAACGATTGAGTAATTTAGAGAGAGCATCCCGCAGCCTGGACGTCTAACCTCTGAAGGTTTAATCATTTAAGACTTCTCTTTTTATTTCCTCTTTCTGTGTTTAACTTCTAAAGAGGCCGATAGAGGAGTCACAGCTGGATTCAAATTCTTTATTGTCTTTGAGTTTCTTCTTTCAGCTCGGTGAAGAAGCCTGCAATCTCCCGCGGGCTCTGCAGTGAGATGAGATGTTTTCACCTCAGAGTCTCTCTCGTAATCTGATCCTCAATCAGACTCATTACAGATAAACGGTGGCTCGTAAGGATCTTGGACCTCCTAAAAGGTCTGGCAAAGAAACCCAACCTTTCAATCCCGATGTCATGGCAGCATCATTCATCGTTTCTATCTTCATATCCGTCTGCTGTTCACATTCTGTTCTGAGTCGTCTTTTCACACGGTTCAGTTTCTTCATGTTTGCTAAACTCTCTGCGTTTGAAACACATGAATTTGTTTTTATTGTGATGCCCCAGCGGTGTCATCAGGTAATGTTTTCATTGTGATTGTCTTGGACGCAGGTCTCCAACCTGAGCTTTCATTGCAGCTCACTACAGCCTCATGTCCACCTAGCGTTTTTTTCTCTGAGCTCCAGCGTCTTTTTTTCAATTGTTTTTTACAAGGAGAGCGTTTGCAGCAGAAAGCGGCCGCCCAAAGACAGAGAGCAGCGCCCAGCGGCCGCTCCGAGAGCTCAAGATTAAAATCTTTCAACTTTTCAGAAAGACGTTGTTGACATCACTGGCGCTGTTTTCTAAATGTTTATATTCCCCGTAGTTTACGGATTGTGTCTTGTTCCCACATCCTCTTTGCGCCGTGTCTGACCGGGAAATAAACGTTCTAAAAACATGCAGTAGTTCGGTCCGCTTTGGTTAAATAAAGAATGATTCAAACTTTAACCGTGGCGTCTCCCCTCTTTATCGTGACCTCCTGAGGCAGGTTATGACATCGTCTAAATAAAAATATGTTAACCTGCGTGTGAAACAAACCTTGACTGTGATGACTCCCTTCCTGCCGACTTTCTTCATGGCGTTGGAGATGATGGTTCCAATCTCTACATCTCCATTGGCCGAGATTGTAGCAACCTTGAGGACGATAAATAAACATTTTTGTTATTTTATTTATTAAAAGCGTCGGCTCGACGTGTGCAGCGCTGCGTCCTCTCTCTACCTGTGCGATCTCCTCGGGGGTTGTGACAGGCTTGGAGAGCTTCTTCAGCTCATTAATGATGTGTTCCACGGCCATCATGACTCCGCGGCGGATCTCCACGGGGTTGGCGCCTTTGCTGATGGTGTCAAAGCCCTCCTTGGCGATGGCCCGAGCGAGCACGGTGGCGGTGGTGGTGCCGTCTCCGGCCTCCTCGTTGGTGTTGTTGGCCACGTCCTGCACCAGCTTGGCGCCGATGTTCATGTACTTGTCCTTCAGGTCGATGCTCTTGGCCACAGTCACGCCGTCCTTGGTGACCTTCGGGCTGCCCCAGCTCTGCTCGATGATGACGTTGCGACCCTGAAGATGAGAGAGACAGTTAAGTGATCAAGCAGTCCAACATGCCTTGGCGTTAAAAAAAAACTGTGGATACAGGGAAGTGATCATTTTGTGCGGACGATGTTTCGGGCTCTCGTTACCTACAGCTGGAATGAAATCTAAAGTCTGCAGTCAATAGTTTCTATGCTGGACCCATCACTGCTATTATTATTATTGTTACATAAACAACATCAATATTTGCAGGTGTAGAAATTATTCAACACCAAATGAATCAGTAGTAGTACATGCAGATTTAATAATCCATAATCCACACATTACCTTTGGACCCATGGTGACGGCCACAGCGTCAGCCAGCAGGTCGACTCCCTGCAGCATGAGAGCGCGAGCATCAGCTCCAAACTTCACGTCCTTAGCGTAGCCTCGTGTGAGGTGAGGAGCCAGCGCCCGGCACACAGGCCTCACCTGCTTCATGACTGTCGGTAGACGAAACATCTGAGGGGAGGGAAAAAAAAAACAAAAAAAACCATCAATTCATGATTAACTGTGATGAAATCAGCTTCCAGTTAAAGCTTCCTCCTCTCCTCCCAAACTGTCACATGACAACAGATCATATGTTACAAAGGTTCACGCTCCCCCCCCTCTAGTGGCATCAAGCGGTATGACAGCCAGCAGTGGATGAATGGACATCTTGGTCAAACATTATCAGGTTTGTCCCCTTCAACGAAAAAGGTGCTGCTACAACACAAAGAACGCAGTAGAGAGACGCAAAGAGACACTTTTACACAAACATACCCGATTTATTACGTATAGAAACTCAGGCTGGTTTTATGAGCTACTTCTGTATTATTTTAAACGATACAATCGAGTAAAATAAATCTCAGTGAGGCTCAAACTAACAGCCACCTATAGTAATGAGTTGTGTCTAAATTAGGGCTGTCAGCATCAACTGTTTAAAAATGGATCGGATGACCCTGATGAAGGCCACGAGCTGAAATGCGTCGGTCTAAACTGTTAATAAAGTTGATATTCTTACTACAAATGTTGCTGGGGCATTTTGACCTCTTCTAAGCATTAACTATTTAATCACTATTAATCTCATGTTAATTTGTCCCTTCAGGCTCCCCGTAGATAGTGGTCCTCAGTGATGTAAAAGAAGGACACTGCTGCATCTTTGAATGTCTCAATTCACTTCAACAAACTCTCAGAAAGCTCAGCTGACGAGTCCAAAGTCATATCCACCTTATGACATCACACATTGTGAAATAATACAATTTAAAACATGCAATTAACTTTTGAATTTTAGCTAATTCTGTTAATTTTTTAATAATTTGACAGTCCTAGTTAAGTATATTTATGAATGAATTTTTTTGTTTAAATATATATTAAACAGAAATTCGTTGTCGTCCTATTAGGGTTTAAAGAAGTTTTTAATTTGTGTAAAAGTGGGACAGAGAAAATATTTATGAACTAAAGACAGTAAAACTAAACGATCCGTAGTTTGTGTTTCATACGGACAGAATAAAGAGTTTACTACGATTATTAAAAAAAAAAATCAACATTTAAGTGGATTTATAAAAAAAAAAATGAATAGCTGATCCAGTTCCTGGTTAGCCCACGTGTGCTCTTCGGGTCGTGCGTCACAAGGTCAAATTGTGAAAGCATGTGCGGAACTGCTCAGCTCCATCATGTGTGACCATCACACCGTCGTGCGAGTCACTTAGCTATACCTGCTGAACACCTGTGTGCACGCGACGACACACTCGCACTGTTAAAGCGTGTCATTGTGTTTTCAGGTTGTACCCAGCTGTGAGGCATGACTTTAATGAAGAGGTTTCATCATACAAGACACCAGTCACGACATTAATCACCGACTTAATCCAATTTATTAACCGTGTGTGGTTAAAATAAAACGTTCACAGAGCAAATTCGAAGCCATTCTGAACATTCAGCGACATTTTTGCATGAATGTCCTCTCAGTTATGAAGATAATTCTGTCCGCTCGGAGTTACCCCGGCTAGCTTTCCCTGAAGCACTAAATGTTGCCACTAAAAAAGCAGCGCTGTTCAGATTTAATTATAAACTGTTATATATAAACTTTAAAGCGCTAGAGTCTTGTAAGATGTCAGCACTTACTTTTGAGGTGAAAAGCTTCTGGCTGCTGCGAGGTGCACGTCTGCAAGAGGGAATGATATAACGCCTGTACGTTTGAGGACAGATCGGTGTGGTGCAACTGAGAGGGGACTGCACATGGGCTATCACATCCGGGTAATTTACCGGCTCGCCACGGAATCTGAATAACAGCAACCTAGCTTAAATAACCGCCTTATTTGTTGTTTTAAATTGATCGCACTGACGCAACAGACACATTTGAACACACACTTTGGAATATATATTGAGTGTGCGTTTCGAGAATCACATTTTATGATAGTTTTAAAGCAGAATTCACGTCAATGCTCGTTCCGGGGCGAATCGATTCTAGAAATTTCCCGTGTACCATTGGAGGAAAAAAAAAAAAAGGTCAAAGTTGACTTTGTGAAAATTTACTCGGACTGAAAATGAATGAAAATGAAAAGAAAATACAGAATGATTAAGTGTACATTCGAACTCATTGTTTTTAAGTGACGTTTCTGTGCGGGAATCGATGTTTTATTCGTCGTTTTAACCCGTAGGTGTAATAGAATTTTCAGTCAGGCGAAGAAGTTTGGGGGCAGGGAGTACGCATGCGCAGGAACGTTCTGGATATTTCCTCACGTGGAGCGATTCCCCTTTTCAGTGTGTCAGATCCACGCTCAAGAAGAAACCGGGGTTCAGCAGCTCCACGTCGGCTCTCAGACCTCTTACACATCAAGACATGGTGAGAAACTCATTTTAAATGTGTTTATTTATTACGAATACTTCCTGTTGTCCCGTAAACAGCGACCATACGGCTCCTGAGTTACGGTTAGCAGCTAGCTCACTTGTGTAAGGTACCTGTAATGTTCATCACAAGGTCAAACAGTTATAAATCAGGGTATGAAAGGGAGGATATGGTCAACTGGGGTGCGTGTTTATGCCGTGATATATTAAAATAAACTGTCACAGGAGATTCATCTCTACCAAAAGTGCAGCAGCAGCTACAAACTCGCTGCTGACTTGAATATTAACACACATTCCTGCACTTTGCTTTAACATTGAGTCGGTTTTCTGTCAACAAGCTGACATCTGGGATTCTACACAGATGTGCGCAAGGACATGTATCCTGCTCAAAACGCGTCGTGTCATTCATTCCTGCAGCAGACGCATGAATGACGCGTCCTCACAGTCCAGACTGTTTAGACTACTTTAACGATAGTTACAGATCACATGTTTTAAAAACCTGTCTGCAGATTCACGTGTAATGCTGCAGCATGCATGCCCTTGATCAGTAAAACATATGAGTTACATGCACGTTTAAATCACTTCCTGCTTCCGCTACGTAGGCTGTGACCTCATAATGTGACCCATGCATGCATGCAGCAGCAGCAGGGTCTGAAAACTGGAATTCTCCAGATCCTTTCCTGAATCCCCTACACTGAAATCACTCCTTTTTAATGAGTAAAGAAAAACGCAACACATTCATGAATGATTATGAGACAACTCTTTAAATGATTTCCCTAATTACGTATGTGTCTTCATTGATTTATTCATTTTATATCAGCTTGTATTTTTACATTCCTGTGTGTACTTTATCTGTTATAATGTTATTTTAATCCCGCTTTCTTTTGACTCGCATGTGATTCTGACTATTTACCTGAAGTATTTGTGCATTATTGTTCTTTAAATAAAGAAATTGGGGGGGAAGAGGAACAAAAGTCGTCTCATCAGGGCCCTTAACTTCCTACCTCTTCATTTACCCCCAATCCGCCTCGAAACGCCCAGCCAGCAAGCCTCCCTCAAATTTGATTCCCAAAGTCAGCTTTGCGCTTCTTCATGACGTCACCAGCAGAACGTGCAGGCACAGTAATACCTTTGCCCACCCACCCAGTACAGCTCTGCAGCTCCCATGGCGTACAATTATATTATCACATTAAAAAAGACTTTATTTTTGTGGTCCATAGATTTACTTTATTGATCCCAAACTTGTGTTATTACAGCAGCAGGTAATCAAAGCAAATAAACCAACATAAGGATAAATACCCAAACAATATAAGAAATACGAACAAACATGAACATCCAGAAGTTAGCCTAACAATACGTCTTAAGTCTCAATAAAGAGAAATAAGAAAAAAAAAAAATTGTTGACAAGTGTAAGTGTTTAAATCCAGCGATGACAGTTTTAAGTCCAGGGATAAGAGATACCAAGATGTTGGGAGGAGAGAGTGAGAGAGGACATGCAGCTAAGGGCCGAGGTCGGATTTAAACCCACGGCCCGCTAATGTCGAGGACCACGGCCTCTGTACATGGGGCCACAAAACATAACCGCTAGGCTAACCAGCACCCCAATTCTGAGGTTATTAAACATCTTCAGCGACGTGTCCCCCTGCAGCGTCGTAAAGTAGTGCACAGAGAAGCTTCTGGAGAACTGGACAAACTGGCCTTGTTACCGTTATCGCGTGCCGTTTACAAACCCGGAGGACGTTTCCTCACAGGTCAGGTCAGGGCTGATAGCATCACGGCTCAGTGTTTGGATTTTGTAACTGACTGGTGTGTGTCCTTCGCGCTGCCTCAGGGGTCAAACAGTCACAATGAGAATGTGACTCCGCCTCCCTTTTAGAGCGACAACTGAATCGGATCTTTCAACAAACCTGGAACCTGTCCATCCCCCCATCCCCCATCCCTCCCCCTTTTTTGTTTGAACTCCCTCCCCCTCTCTCCCAGACAACCTTCAGCCAAGGTCACCGATACATCTGCTGTTATCAGAGCGCTGACAACTGGTGTTATAAATCTCACAAACGCCCTTGTCCTTTCCTCCCCCCCTCATGCATTTTTACCGCTTTTAACTTTTGGCCTTGTCTGAACCTTTAAACACGGCCAAAAAGTTACATTTCATTCTGACTTTTGCAACAAAACTTTGATTTCACAAAGCTGCCTCTGACTAGTAGCTGCTCATTAATTGCACAGACACCGTCTTAACTTAAGCTCTCTTTCACCTCGTCTAACCTCACCCCCCCCCCCCTCCTCTTTCTCCCCCCTCCTCCTCCTCTTTCTCCCCCCTCTTACCTCCCCCGTCCCTCACAGAGCGGCCATAATGACGGTTTAATCATTGCTGCAATTCACCGGAGAATCTCGGTGGTCACAAACTTTGAGCTTGTGTGTTTTTTGTTTAGTTGAAAAGGACCCAAGAAAGGATTAGCATCAAATCATATTTTTAAAATAAATAATAAACAAATATTATTAAATAAGATTCAACTTTCATGACATAAGTACAAGTGCTGAACAACAGGGCTCCGGTGGCTTAGTGGTCATTTTGCAATCTCCATGTACAAAAGCGTTTGTCCTTGAAGCAGGCGGCCCGGGTGAGAGTTCAACCTGTAGCTCCTTTCTCTCTCTCTCGCTCTCTCTCTCTCTCTCTCTCTCCCCCCTCACTGTTTCTGACTCTATCCACTGTCCTATCAAAATAAAGGCATAAAAGCCGAAAATAGAAATAAGAGTTTCTACAATATTTTAATAAAAGAAGCTTTTGATTGTGAGTGTAATTTTTTTTTTCTTTTTATTTACGTTCTTTTTCCTTTCTTGGTAACTCGCAGGCCTTCAGGAAATTCCTCCCCTTGTTCGACCGGGTGCTAGTGGAGCGCTTCACCGCGGAGACGGTAACAAAAGGCGGCATCATGCTGCCAGAGAAGTCTCAAGGCAAAGTGCTGCAGGCCACAGTGGTGGCAGTAGGACCCGGCTCTGTTAACCCGGTAAAAACAAACAAAATATGACTGTAGTAAAGTGTCTATGAGGAATGTCGGGGGTTTATAGTTGCTCTTTGGATACTTGTGACTTTTGTCTGATTTTCAAAAAAAAATTTGTTTTGTAGAAAGGAAATCTGCAGCCGGTTAGCGTGACGGTGGGAGAGAAAGTCCTCCTACCAGAGTACGGTGGAACTAAAGTCAGTCTGGACGATAAGGTGCAGCACGACTGTCTCATTAACGGATTCTGATATCATGTTTGTTTTGGTGCCTTCCTCCTCTAATTTCCCTTTTTCCTCCTCTAGGACTATTTCCTGTTCCGTGATGGAGACATCCTCGGCAAATACGTCGAATGAGCCTTCCTTTATTTCTGTGGCTGTAGACGTCTCTGTCATCACCGAAGAGAAGAAATTATGTTGTCTCATCCCTGTCTTTTTTTCTTTCTTTGTTTTTTTTTCTTTTTATTAAAGGTTATTTCAATTGTAAATAATTATCACATTTTGTTACAATAATAAAGGTGAACTGTTGGAGTTCTGTCTGTTTGTCTCAAAATGTTTTTAAATGAAGCCTTCACAGAGCTTTGAGAGGAAGCTCTTCCTGCATGCACGAAGAAACCTCTGGTGATAAAACGCAGTAGTGTGACTGACCTTAAACCTCCCCAAAACAGCTCATGTCACTCCACTGTTCAACTCCCTCCCCTCCCTCCCAGTTTTTGCTCGCATCAAATTTAAAACTGCTGCTCCTCCTTACCTAAACTCTCTCATCCAGGTCTACCCGCCCTCTACGCTCTGCCGATGAAAGGCGTCTGATCCAACCTTCACAATAGGGCCCCAAGTCTCTAACTACTCTTCTCCTCTGTCGCCCCCCTGGTGGTGGAACAAACTACCAAACTCCATTCGATCTGCAGAGCCGGGAGTTAGAGGGCTGCCGGTTCAAGTCCCGTGCATGTGTGTTTATATCAGGACTATGTGTGTGAGAAGCATGGCTTAACATTACAGGGTATATACCCAATCTTAATAAAGTATGTAAACTTTAAAAAAAATATATATTAAATTATTAAATAATACATCCAGTTTGTAGATTCCAGAAAATAGCCCTCTTTCAGCTCTGTAATGAAACATTTTGTGCTTAATCCAAAAAGGGATTTGGGTTAGTTTAATTAGTTTAAGAAGCTGGCTAATTTAGTCAACCCAGAGAGGAACTCTTAATCACTACTTTAAAGAAATTAAGACGGGGTGCATTCACGTGCTCAGCAGATGCTCGGATTTTCAAGGTTCGGATGTCGGTCGTCCGATGTTGTTGAAACATCATGATAGAAATGTAGAAGCTTTTTTTGATTTTATTTTTCAAGATTCAATTTGGTAACTATTGAAAAGGTGCTAACGGTTATTGTAACCTTTTAACATATTACAATGACAAACGAGGCAGACAGGTGATCGCAAAAGGTTCTGACAAGCCTACGTTTATACGTAATTTGATGTCAATTCTGTCAACTTGGAAAGTCGTATACCAACAATTTACTCACTAGTAAATATGCTGCTTCAACTCTTTTATTTCCACCCTCAGTCAGCAGAAAGCGGGTGACAATGAATTAAAGGTTGAGTTATGTTTTAAGGTGATTTAATGAAACAAAATCCGGATAGAGAAAGGGAACAGTGCAGACCATAGACTCGGATTCGAACCCAGGCTTTCCGCTTCCAGGACTAGAGTCTTGTACAAGGCTACTGATGCACTGTTTTTGGGGTGGGACCGTGAACACTCTCTTGGCCCTGCGAGCGAGAGAGCCTTCAAGGGCATTATCTAATATTGAAGCTCATATTTCCGAGTATTTCGAGTGAACTTGAATGCGGGTTGCGTCTGGCTGATACAACCCAGCGGCTGACGAACATCCGGGTATTCTGTCGAGATGGTCATGGCGGAGGGTACTGCAGTTCTCAGGAGGAATCGGCCTGGAACCAAGGCAAAGGTGCGTTTTCACCCGGTGGGAATAAAAAAAAACGTGACCGATAACAGCCCCAGAGACGCCACAGTCGTATTTAAATGGAGTTTAACTGTTTTACTGCACATCTTTTGTCGACTATTTTGACAGCAATACATGAAGGGCCTGACCTGGAAATAGCCAGCTCCGCTAACGCTAGCTGTCGCTCCGTCTATTTCCTGGAGTTACGTTAACTTTAACGACTCTACGGGTTTCCTGACGCTACATGTTGACGCTGATCCTAAAATAATCAATTAATCATATGTAGTGAATACATTTCACTCAGGATCCTGATACACACACTTATTACATGGCATTAAAGCTCGTTAAGTGTTTGTTTGCAGGAAGTAGTTGCCCCCCCGCCCCCATCTGACGTAACGAAATCCTCTTGGTAAACTACAACTGCTGAGCTATTCCCGCTGAAACAAGACAATTTAAGTTATATTTAGGTGTTTATAATTGGTATATTTGTTGTAGATTGATCTGATTTTTTTTGCTGTTTAACGTCAGCTGTGATGAATTGTTTACACGAACCTAAAATTGTCTTTCCTCCATGTCTAGGATTTCTACAACTGGCCGGATGAATCATTCGAGGAGATGGACAGCACCCTGGCTGTCCAACAGGTGTGTGTGGGGGTGTGTGTGTGTGTGTGTGGGTGGGGTGTGTGTGTGGGTGGGTGGGTGGCCCTCCCATTTGGTCATTAGTGTTTATTTGTGTCATTGTTTTTGGATCCCCTTTACCTGTATCTGAGAATAGAGCACAGAAAGTCTTCCTGGGGTCCACATTGAAAAAAAACAAAAATTCTACAGGTGTATAAAAACATAATTAAGCACTGCTGTCCACACAAACTAACACATTTGTGAAATTTACATAATGTTTATGAAATCAGTGATTACTAGTTTATTGTCTATTAAGATAAAGATAAGATATACTTTATTCATCCCAGCAGGGAAATGTAGGTGTTCCAGCAGCCAGCATACACACAAACACACAACACAACACACATGTACATACATATCCCACCCATACAAAAAACATGAGCCCACAATACAGTTTGATGTATGATATATGCAACTCAGGCTAAAGTTTAGAAGTTGTCTTCTGTCCTTACTTAAAGGGGAGTCGTTATACAATGCAATTGCAGTAGGTAAAAAAGTATTTTTAAATCTGTCCTTTTTGCAGCATTATTCATCGGGTGGTGTTTATATGCCTGCTTGAAATTCCTCACAGAGTTGCCGCCCAACATTAAAGAGAAGAAGAAAAAGATGATGAACAGGCAATCATGTCGCAGGGATATGGAAAGGCGGGCTTAATGATGTTTGGAGCAGAATTGAAACACAGCTGAAATTGGCGATAGCAACACAGAATAGAACGCTGAGCCTACCAGCTCAAAACAGGAGAAAACACAAGTCGTTAAGAAAGGCCGCTCAACTTCAGATGTGTTCAAACAAATCATATCTTTGCCCGTCTGTACATTGAGACTGCAGGAGGAATGTTCGCTGTCAACAATCCTCCTGTTCATACTCGCAGTGAACCTATCCCTTCCTAACACTATTACAATGTATGCTCGTCATACAGTGGAAAAATGCATTCCTCATGTCAGCTGAGGTTTTTAATTCAGGCCTCAGAGAAGTCAAATTGAGTATCTGTCAAAGTTAGTCCTTATTGTTCCTGTGATTCAGCTCAGCAATGAATCACAAAAAGGGATTCGCTCTCTGACTTTGGTCAAACTTTGGGCCTCCTGTCTGGATTTGATCAACCTTTATTTGTTCTGCTGTGAAAGTAGAATATTGAGTTGATTACTTGTGTTTAAGTTCTGTTAAAGTGTTTTCATGTCTGTGTTTCAGTACATTCAGCAGAACATTCGATCAGACTGCTCCAATATCGACAAAATCCTGGAGCCTCCGGAGGGTCAGGACGAAGGGGTTTGGAAGTACGAGCACCTCAGGTAAAAGATTTTTAACAAAACGTTGGTACAGTCAGAGACCATTTTAGAAAGTTGAAGTTGAGACAGTGATATTAGGGTATTATTATTATTAGGGTACTGCAGTCCAAATTCTAAACATTGTAGAGAGCTGTCTCCCCCCGCCCCCTCCTCTCTAAAGTCGATTCTCACACAGGTTGCCATGTGGTGGACACTGAAGCTTCAGTGTTTATCCAGCTCTGCATCGGTCTGTAAACCTTCCTGCGTTCTCACCTCTCTCCATTTTTCAAAAGCATCTCCAATATTGATCCTAGTTTGAGCACGTTTCTGCTCGTGGAGCTTATTAGAAACATGCAGAGGCTTTTTAGGTCGGGTACAATCACTTCTATCTGAACCAGTTCTCTTGCCCGCTTCCATCGCTGCAACACCTGTTGGTTTGACCTGATAACTGCTCTCATATCTGGCAAACCGAGGGGCGTCCAAAACGGCCGTGTGGGGGTGCCTTAAAGCCGCCTACCTTCTCTGGTCCAAACAAATCCAGAGCATTCAGGACCAGAATCTAAAGTTAGAAGGAGGACATACTGGCTGCTGCATTGTTGTCAGAGAAGCCAGCACTTCAACATAGCATGTTCCTTAATGTCTGATCATATAGTAAGCTCACTTTATCATCTCACTCACTACACATCTTACTGATTGGATCTTTAATTGGATAGATGTATAGATGATTTGAAGAGGGAAATTTAGGTGCATATAAATACTCTCATCCCTCAGCTACCTTGTAACACCTGCCCATTAATGTGTTTGTAGGCAGTTCTGTTTGGAGCTCAACGGACTCGCCGTAAAACTGCAGGTAAGTGATTCAACTCGCATGATAAATAACCAGCTGCTTGTTAAAATGTCACATTTATTGACAGGATTATGAACAAGTCCTTCACTACAAACAGGTGTTAATAAGTTAATGTTGACTTTCATGTCAGCTGTAGTGATGATGTTTGTCTCCTCATTCAGAGCGAGTGCCATCCAGACACCTGCACCCAGATGACGGCCACGAGCAGTGGATCTTTTTATGTGCCGCCCACAAGACACCCAAAGAGGTCAATAAAAAGATCACTGCTTCATGCTTTAGTATCACACTCTTGGATGTTACTTAACATGAATGTATTGTTAGTGTTTGTTTTTGTCTTTGTGTGAGATGAAACAGTACGACATTTGAATGTTTTTGTTTCGCTCCCTCCTCAGTGCCCTGCCATTGATTACACCAGGCACACGCTGGACGGAGCTGCCTGTCTTCTCAATAGCAACAAATACTTCCCCAGCAGGTAAAAATCACCTTACACAGAGGATCTCTGAGAGCTGAAATGTTCAATGTGTTTGCTTATAGTAAATGATTTTAACTAGGGCTGGGCAACATGGACCAAAAATCATACCTAGATGCTTTTTTCTGTAAAGAAATAAAACAAAATCCGCTCAAAGGGCACAGTGACACTCGGCCCAGTTACCCTGTATCACTCACATTGCTGCAGGCCCAACCGAACCTGAGCACGGTTACCTCTTGTACACACGTCATCATACAACACACACATTGCGTACATCATCATGAAGCATCCTTTTGGTAACAAGAATGAAGTCAGAGTACACAGACAACATGACTCCAACTAAACCGAATTTGTGGCTTAATTTGAATTGTTATGATCAGATGCGGCCCGATAAGAGCGCACACACTATAGGACCAGAGTGCGATCTTAGTCAAATCCACCCGGGCCCAGTGTCACAGAGGACCTTTCAGTAACAGCCCGCTGCACAATGTCAACATGTGCGTGTGAAGTGACATACAAATCAACAACCATTTAAATGGGGATAAATCTCTGATGCATCTTTTGCAGGGTGAGCATCAAGGAGTCATCGGTGGCCAAACTGGGCTCCGTCTGTCGTCGCATCTATAGGATATTCTCTCACGCCTACTTCCACCACCGCCAGATATTCGACAAGTATGAGGTAGGCTTCATGCTGTTACTGTCCGGAGTTTTTCTTCTCCTGTAAATGTGCATCTATTCTTCTGAAACCAACCATGTGTGTTAAGTAGTGACTAAACCTCCTCACTGAAGTCTGCAGACTGTAGAACAGAGAGAGAGAGAGCGAGAGAGAGCGAGAGAGAGAGCGAGAGAGAGCGAAAGAGAGAGAGAGAGAGAGCGAGAGAGAGCGAGAGAGAGCGAGCGAGAGAGAGAGAGAGAGAGAGAGAGAGACAGACAGACAGACTAGAATGACAAAGACATGACTGAGACCAAGACTTTAAGGGATGGATTCAACAAGACATTTAGGGATCGAGACCGAGTCAAGACCAAGACATTTAGGGATGGAGACCAAAAAGTGGTCTCTGGACCAGTCTTGAGACCGAGACGATCTCGAGTACTACGGCCCTAGTAATGACTTCATCGTGCGTTTCATCATGGTGGACATTTTCATTTTTTGCATGTGTGTGCGCAGAACGAGACGTTCCTGTGTCACCGGTTCACGCGCTTCGTCATGAAGTACAACCTGATGTCCAAGGACAACCTGATCGTGCCCATTCTGGAAGAGGAGGTCCAGAACACCTCGTCAGCCGGGGAGAGCGAGGCCTGAGACCCAGCTGCTGCCATATGGGAGACGACACACACACACACACACACACACACACACACACACACACACACACACACACACACACACACACACACACACACACACACACACACACACACACACACACACACACACACACACACACACTACAGTGTATAACGCCTACATGTCCCTCCTCCACCCTCGTCACCTGTCTCAGAGGAAGTCAAGAGGAGCAGAGTCAGCCATGCCTGCAGGGTTTTTATTTCCTCTCTGTTCGTCCCATCAGATCCACCGGAGTCGTTTCCTGCTCTCACACTACTCCTCCGAATTCAACCTTTATTTTCCTTTTAATCTTCTTTAAGCAGCTGGATTTGCAAAAACTTATGTAATCATGGTGACCTGTATTGTTGACAAAGGCACTCACTGACAGCCCCCCCTCCTCCTCTCCCCCCCTTCCCTGTAAATAGCCCCCACTCCTCCTCCCTCTATTTTAATTCACAATGTTTATTTCTGATGCTGCTTCACTCTCTGTCTGCTTCTGTTCTCTCTCGGCTTGTGTTTCCTGTTTTTTTTGTTGTTTTTTTTGGGGGAAGGGGGGGGTCGTCTCATGAAGTGGATCACTAAATCAGCCTGCTGACGTTAATAATGCTATTAAATCACAATGTTAGGTGTGCGGCTCGTGTGGTAGTGAACAATGACAAACGTAACCTCTAGCTTCGTCCGTGTACTAGCAGTCAGATCTTCTTTCTCTGAGTATTTAGGAAGGCTTGTTGGCTAACTCTGATCCTGCTCTGTGACCTGCTCCTGTTTTTAATACTGTTTCAAATGTGCCCGATTTTCCACCTGCTTGTTCACTAAATCTTAACGTGTTTACGTGCCGAGGCTGAGCTGCTGTAAGCCGGTTTTTAATGCCGTAAACGTTCGATGAGTAAATACGACGAGGGAGGTGGAAGATTGGCTACATTTACAGCACAGCCTCCCCCTCTTTACCCCTCCCCCCTCATTAAGTTATTTTGTGGGAGGAGAGTCTTGTCAATCCAACCCACTTTTTTTTTTTTTAAATGGACTAAAAAATTTTGTTACTGTTGACATTTTCATGATGTCTGTTAATAAAAAATACCTATTATTCATGTTGTGTTCATGTTTTCATCGATGCAGCTTTGTGGCTGTGCAGGTATCAGAAACTGGGGTAAGCACGCCATAGTTCCCCGATATGCAGTGGGGCGTATAGACTTTTTTTACCTCTGCAGGGGTGACACAACATTTGGGCGCACACATGCAAATTGATAAAATGTTTGTGTCCATGTGATACGTTCTTTTTTTGGGGGGCTTTTGTGCCTTTATTGGAGAGATAGGACAGTGGATAGAGTTGGGAATCAGGGAGAGAGAGAGTGGGGAATGCGTGTGGGAAATGAGCCACAGGCCAGATTTGAACCTGGGCCGCCTGCTTGGAAGACCACAGCCTCCCTACATGGGGCGCACGCACCAACCACTGCGCCCCGACGTGATACATTCTTGTTATACAATTTGGCAACATGTAAATCTTAGCTTTATTCTTCGGGACTCAAAAACAAAGATGCATGTTAAAAGTCATGATTTTAAATACTTTGAAAATTGCTTGCAAACTCCTACACGCTGTCTAACTTGCAAAAAAAACATTGTCAGTTGTCCAAGTTAGACTGTGTGCACAAGTTTCTTCCTTGGCAATAGTTATGGAAAGAGAAAATGTTTATTTACCACAGAGTACATCCATTAGCCTGCAGAAATCAGCCAGAGTAGTTTATTCATATTTAAGTCCCCCCTCTGATAAGGCAAATAGCCAATCATAGATTTGACTTTTGGGGTGGCCAATCAGATTTCGAGGGGGGCAGATGCCACCCCTCTGCACACGCCCCTGTGTTTCTGCAAACTTAAGATTTGAAATCTGTGAGCATGTTGTGATGACTCTGGACTATAGTGAGTCATGAAGGCTGTAATAGAAGCGTTAAATCACACAGGAGTCTTAAACGATGGGGGGGGGGTGAGTGTTTAATACAATAAAAAACAACAACCATGATAATAAAAGGATTCAGAATGAACAACACTCCAGAGAGGAATTAATACTGACATTTAGTAAACCCTGACGGGGATTTCATGAACAGCGTGTGAATCAAAGCTCCGTTTACAACACTAAAATGTCTCAGAGATACTTCAGGTGCATTCGATCCCTTTCCTCCCAAAATAAAAATACAAACGTGCACCACAGAAGAAGAAATGTTCAAATACAAAAGCTAACATGGCATCTCAAATATTTACAACATCTTGTTTCCCTTTTACAGCTTCAACACAGGACCCCAAACGACTGAGCGCCTCCTTTAAAATCACACTTTCTGTTTCCTTCTCAAAACATGGCGCCTACATTACCCACAATGCAACTCAACCACAGGCAGTTTGGTCACAGATTTGGACGTTTATTCTTCCAGTTTTCAAACGCCATATCTTCAGACCAAACCGACTCTCTGACTTTCTTCTGGAGCCTTTAGAATACTTTAAACGACCTTTTTCCCCTTCATGCTCGGCTTTACTTTCAAATACCTGAAAACACACCTGGATGTGTCAACTTCCCCTGTAAAAACAAAAACAGTCCTGATCCTCTCTGAAGAACTTCATCCATGACCACAAAGAGAAAGTACCACAAAGGTCGTGAAGCAGCAGTTTGCAGTAAATAAAATAAATGTACAACACAACGGCTGATCGATTATTAAATAATACTTTCAAAGGTTTGCATGATTAAATAGAACTATCTCAAGAAAGGATAATGAAACGACAGCAGGTATAAGGTGTGTTTGTTTCCACATGAAACAAGGAAGTCTCCTGTCTCGACTCGTCAGAGAAATAATACTGATATCGTAAGAATACAAAGCGTCTCAGGCAGCCTCACAAACATTCACATCCAAACTTTCTGCAGGATTCTTCTTTCAGATAAGACAGTCAGCTGGGGCGCTGATGGCCTAGCGGTGAGGTCACGTCCCATATACAAAGGCTGTAGTCCTCAAGGCGGGCTGCACGAGTTCAAGTCCAACCCACGCCTTCTTTCCATGTCATCCGCATTTCCTACTCTATCCGCTGTCCTTTCAAAATAAAGGAAAAACCCAAAACCAAATCAGACGTTACGCACATCGACACGAGTTAGTGTGGTTAAGATGTTTCAGACTTCAAATATGAACAGACGCAGCCTGAGTGTCGTCACCCGTCTGTTCCTGCAGGGGGGCGTTGGAGTCCCCTCGATGGCGGTCTCTTGAGCTAATCAGACCTATTTGTTTTTTTGAACCAGGCTGTAAACATGTTAATCTCTGCTGTAAGAGGATTTTTAGAATGGGTGTGTATGTGACTCCTGTGCTTCTGCAGCCAGCCTCTAGTGGACACTCGAGGAACTGCAGGATTTTACTTCTGCATCGGCTTTATTTTTTAACACTGGAGGCTGCTGCTTGGTTACTACCTACCTACGCTGGTGATGCAGCTTTTTCAAACACAGGCTCCATCATCTCGTCAGCTCACTGAGCAGAACTTTCTATCACCCTAAATTTAACGTCCGCTTCGTTGTGAGGAGAGGACTCATCAGTGCACAACGGTGCACGAGTTGATGGAAGCAAACATTTCGTGAAGCTGTGAAGGAACATCAAACTGCTGTAGAGCCCCTTCCCCTCTTTGCACCGCCTGTGTCGTTCCACTAACGTGCAGAAAACTGTGCTGTCCCTCTTTGTGCTTTATAGTTTGGTGAACTGATCCCCTTTAAATGCATTTAAATATGAAAGATTCTCCACCAAACAAATGTGTATCAAAGTTTGGACCCTGGTGAATTAAACCTTTTTTCTCTTTATGGCTTCATTAAAAAAAAAAACGTTTTTTAAAAAGTGCTGAGTTCTTCTACGTTAAAGTCTGTAAAATCGATGATGAGGGACACGATGTCAGGATGAATAAACTCTTTTCAGTCTGGATCAATGTTTTAAATCCTCAGCTTCAGTCTCAGAATGAAGCCGCGTCCGCCTGTTGTCGCTCCTCACATGCAGGTGACCTCAGCTTTCCCCTCCTCCTGCTCAAAGCCCCCCTCCTCCAGGTGGGACAGGGCGCTGGGATACCCCCCTCCAAACACCGGGAAGCCCCCGATGCCCCCCGCGGTGGGAGACAGCTCCTCTGCGGGGATGGGGCTGCTGATGGATCGGCTCACAGAGCGACTGGAGACGTCGCTGTGCATGGACAGAGCCTGCAGACAAAAGAGCAGGGCACAATAAGATCAAGAGTAACCTATCTCTAAAAACAAACATCACTTCAACGTTTTCAGGAGTCTCAATAATCCAGGTTAAGGTGAGCAATCTTAACGTTAAATTAAAACTGCAAGCGGTTAAGCAATTTTAAGCCCCTCAAATAAAAAAAAAATTGTTTGATGGTGAACAACGCGTCCGTAAGGCAACAGCTTTTGGCGCAAGCCTTTGAGCTTCGAAAGGTTGTATGGCCAAGGTCTTCGAATGGTCAACAGCGATTTTGAGGGAGATATGAGCAACTGTGTAGCAATGGCTAATGCAAATAAAATAGTGCTCAGAAGTAGTAACTTCCTGTTGTCAACAGGTGGTGACTAATTAAAAACATTAATTCATGGATGTGTTCAGGGCGGCTCCTTGTCATGCAATATATATTTTGGTGATGATTGAACACTGCATAGTACATTCATAAGCATTTACTGTTTAGGCGCGATGCCAAAAACAACATCAAACTTTGACGTCACGCCATGGCCACGCCTGATTTTGAAACCTTGTGATTTGAGCACAACTTTTATTCTTCAACTTGTCTACTTTCATTTGATACCAAACTTAATTGATCAGATAAACGCTCTCGGGCAGATGCTTTCAAACAGGTACCCTTTAAACAGGGAAAATATGGCGTTTTTGGACATTCAGAAAATCAAAGCACTTCCTGTTGACATTAGACGATGACTTGTAGTCACTTGTAGGAAGGCAAAAAAACCTATTCGTAAAAATCAAAAAGGGGAGCGCCGTTGAGCCATTTTGCATCGCACTTGTACGGAAACACTATAAAACTATAATTTCACGCACTCCCGATCTGGGTGCAAAAATGTGTGAGTTTCGTGCACATTAAGGCCCCAAATTAGCGATTCATTTGTGCAAAGGAAAACCATGGAAACCACTAAAGATACAATAGGGTCCTCGGGCCCTAATAATGTGGCTCTGTCAGCAAGTCAGCCTTGACTTGTCCACCAGGGGCGGTGTAGTCACATACAAAGATGTTTCCCTTCAGATACAGAAAGAACAGACTTCAATCTTTATGTCAGCTCATCTTTTCTGATAATTGAACGAGAATAAGTGAAAAAAAAAAAAAAAAAATATGACATTCTTCATCATCAAAGCACAGGTAACTTGACCTAACCTGAGCATCAGTCAGTGTTCTGGGGCAGTAATGTTTGTTAAAGGCAGAAACATTGAGATCAAGTGAACACAATCTTTGATGTCAGGATGAGGAGAAGTGTGTTCTATACAGCGACGCATTTACAACCTTTACATCCTGGAGAGGAACAACCCGAGCTCGTCTCCTTGTCGGGTTGTTCATCACATTCAACAACATCTGTCTTTAGTCTGCATGTTCTCCCCGTGCATGTGTGGGATGTGCTGCTCGTTAGGTTAACTTCTGACTCTAAATTGTCCGTAGGTGTGAATGTGGGTGTGGCTGGTTGTCTGTCTCTATATGTCAGCCCTGTGATTGGCTGGTGAACAGTCAGGGTGTAACCCCGCCTCTCACCCAATGCGCCCCAAACGGGAAATTCGGTTTAGATAATGGATGGATGGTTTAAAAACGTAGGTGGTTACTAAGACCGGCACCTTCGCCGCAGCGTGCAGCAGTAGGAAACCGCTCTTTCCCGTTAGGTGGGCGGTTACACAAATGTGTGACATCACTTGAAAGCTATGACGTGACTTAAATGCAGCTCCTATATATCCTGGACTCTCACCTGGTTCCTCGAGTGTCCGGCGGTCTGACCTCTGACCGGTCTCTGCAGGAACACAACCTGCTTTGTGGCCAAGTTTCCATCACTACAAAAACAAAACACAGCGGTTATAAACCTGCAACGCGGCAACTGAGCTAGCTAAATGATTCTTATGGACAGAGGTCGTTGTCGTGGTTACCTGTCGTGTCTGATGATCGGCGTGGGCAGCACACAGGTGAGCAGCCAACCAAACTCAGCCAGAGTGTGAAGGAGCGGCCCGTAGTCGGTTTTTACGTTCGAGCCCTTAGAAAAAAAACCAAAGTGATCATATATGAGGCATAAAGGGGAAAAGAGATGTGAATCTTATACGATTCTAGCTTTGACAAATAAGAAAAGATTGATATACGAGAAACTTTTAACTTCTCACATGATGAAATATAAAGACTTTAAGAGCCAGCGAGGTGAATTTATCTAAAGTCCTTTTTCACATATGCTCTTAATACTGAGGGTAGATTTCAGGAACACAGGAGTCCTGCGGGCTGCGGGGGTTTCCTGGGCAGCTCAGGGTTGTGCTCGGCACAGAAGGAGCAAACTGTGAGCCTAAATCCTCAGGAAGACGGTCTGAGGTGGATTGTTAAACAGGATCCATTTCCATAAGGCGAGACCAGCAGGTGAGTCTGAGTCCATCAGGAGGGTGAGCCTAAGAAGAGGGAGCTGAGCCGGAAGTCAAAGCTCTCGATTTTACCGCTCGATCTTCGTTCCAGCCCTCACCTGGGGGTCATGAGCGACCAAAGTGACCAAAAGAATGAGACCACGGCAGCGGAAATGAGTTTTCTCTGGAGGGGGTCTGGACTCCGCCTTAGAGAGAGGGGGAGGAGCTTAGACATTCAGAGGGAGCTCAGAGTAGAGCCACTACAGAGCAAGCTGATTAGATGCAAATTGATTGAGATCCTCCTCTGGCGGTCGTCACATCCAACTGGGAGGAGACCCCGGGCTGGGGCAACTCGCTTAGCCTGCTGCCACGGCAACCCCGCCCCAGATACACGAAAGATAACGGATGTATCTGCATCTATTTCTAAGGATGTGAGAACGTCTGCAAACAGCAGTGAGTGACTATTCACTGAATGTTGTTTATTAAGGTTTCCCCTTTGAAATACAAAACCTCCTTTTTCAGAGCGTGCGTCGAATCTGCTGCTGCAAAGAGGATTGTGGGATCTCTTTCAGGTATTCTTAACAGTATGGATGAAATAAGAATTGGAATGCAGCCCGTGTTAATCTGCAGCGCTGACCCTTCACCGTCGCTCTGGATCTGCACGTCTCACATCACGCTGCTTTTCGTCAGAATGAGGTC